TTAAAAATAATATAGGTTTTATTTTCTATATTTATAAAAATTTATTTTATCTTAAAAATTTATTAAAAATTTATTTTAAAAATCATTTTTACATGAAGACTTTATTGAATAGACTGGATATCCACAAATTTTACAAAGTTCTGGTGATCTCGTCCACTATTGTATAAGCCCAAGTCAAGAGCTGGCTTTATCCTTATTTGAAATCATAACAAGAACTTAGAATATTGTGTATCGTGAGCCTAGTGCTAGATGTGATGAAACTAAACGATTTTTTCAACTCTCGCATCATTCATTCGAAACATTATTCAAGTTTGTTCAAAGATGTATCCTAATGAAAATAACAATACACAAATTGAAATATCCAAAAATTGTTGGTATCAGATTAGAATCGAATTTTGAAGTATATGAAAAATCTCTTCTCCTGCAAGATTCTCAAAATGAGGTTTGACTTTTATCATTGTTTTTCAATAACTCCACTTCAATATTTTTGTGTGTCCACAATTCATGACATTTGTTGTCCAGCTAACTTTTGACTCAAATTATTCTCATCAGGTTTTGATGCAATTTAGTGTTACTTGATAAATTTAATATAGAAAATTATAGCAAATACAAGTTGTTATTTGAGATATTTTTAAAGATCACTTGACACCATATTCTTTATTTATATTAGAAAATTCCAAATGTCACAACAAAAATGTAAATCTTAAAAAAAAACATTATTTACAATCTGATTTTTTTTTTTAAATCTTCATATATATATTTCTAATTTGAAATACCTCAAATTGTTAAATCTTTTTTTGAAAAATACATATCTCCATGCTCAAAATTTATATTCAATTCAAATTTCTGTTAAGTCAGACAGTTGAAGAACAAAATTTTGAATTTAAATTTTTTATAAAAATATTAAATAAAAAATAATTTTGAAATAAAAATATATTAAATTGAATATAAAAAATAGATGATTAGATAAAACAATTTTTTTTGTTAAATTTTTGTCTGGAATATTACGATTATAGGTTGATAAAATTTATATTGGGTAACTAGTTTTACTTTATGAAAAAAGTCATGTTAGTATATTTTTATAATTTTTGAAATAGACATGTTCACCATGCACAACAATAGTATTATATTTAAATAAAACATATCATTTGATAATTTTTTATATTTTTAATAAGAAATATATAAATATATAAAAATTAATAAAAAATATGCTTTTATAATTTTGAAAAATCATCAAAAAACGTTTTTTTATTACAAAACAAATTACAATTTGAATAGTGCAAAATAGTTGTCCAATTAGATATTAGAGTCAATGAACATCTCAGTATTAATCATAGAAATAAATTTCATGTCAATTTTTTCAGATCTACATAGAATATTCCAATATTTATTTTTATAATTTTTGAAAATTTTTGGTTCAATTTGTTTAAAAATGAATGATGAATATTGATTTTCTGGAATTAAAGTTATAACAATATTTGAAAAAATTAATTTTGATAAAATTTATTTAAAATTAAATCATAAAATTTTATTTTTTTGATTTTTTTCATATTTGAAAATTTTAAATAAAAAAATTATATAGTGGATATATAGATTACTATTCTAGATTGTATAATTTTATTGAAATACCCATTATTCAATGGAAAAAATTATCTATAGAATAATAAAATAGTTTCAAAAATTAAACTATGCATCGGACTTATATTTTGGCAAAATATTATTTTGTAAGAAGATAAAAAAATGTTTTGATTTTACCCATTCCAGACCTGACTTGTTGCATTAGTATTGCTCTTGATGTCACTTTTGATAATTTTTTTGGAAATTATTAGAAAACATTTGAATTTTTTATTATTAAAAATAATTAAAAAAAGAGAGAATATACATTAATTAAAATTTTTATTTTAATTTTTATTTAAAATAAAATCATGCAATGAGAAAAAATATTAAAAAATAATAATTTTTACAATTAATTTACAATTTTTTTCTAAAAATTACACTATTTTTTTCATTAAATTTTCTGAAATTTACAGACATATAAATATAATATTTGAAAACGATTTTGAGCTGAAAAATATAATTTATCAATTGGATAAATAATTGTGAAATTTATATAATTATAACTTTTTTGATTTGGATCAAATTTATGATTTATCTTATAAAGTGAGCAAATTATTGATACACGATTTTTTGATTTTTGCAATATTCCGAAATTTTATTTAATTAATCGTGAAAATTTGATAGTTTAGAATTTTTTTTAAATACTTTATATTTTTAGAAATTTGAAATTCTTTCAAATTTTATATTCACTCGTTCTGATTGAATATTTATATATATTGGATTGAATATATATTATTGAATATTTAAATTATTGGATTGTTTTAAATGTATTTTTTGATTTTTAAAAATACTTTCAGAAGTAATGATATTATATTTGATAGTAATTTTGGACATATTTATCTTATCAATTATCTTTTGTGTTCAAGCTTCAACTTACAGAATTTATTTTTCTTACTATGTTTGATGTAAAATTATTATGATATTCTCAGATTATAAAAAACCTTCAAAAAGTCATTCATGCCGGAGAAGTTATTTAATTCGATAAATATTTCACTACGTCATTAAAGAAGATGAAAACATTCAATCAAGGTGTAAAGTAAGAGACAAAACATTAAACCATGGAGTATGACATCATAATAATATGACAATGAAAAATATATCATTCAGCATCTAATATATTTGAACTATTGACTATGAACAAAAGAAAAGGAGAAATGATGCGAGTTCAGCTGTCAGTCAAAGCGAGGCCCAATTCTCAAACTCTACAAAGTCCTGTGCAGTTTCCTTGTCAGCTTGCCCACTCACCCCCAACTTCTGTATTCACAATCGGAAGTCTTCGATCAAAAGGAACATGATAAGTATGAAACTTCACATTTCTCCAGTGAAGGGAGGGTCACTATCTACTGTTACGTCAATCAATCAAACAAGCCGAACTTCATGTAGGAAGCATTGTCGGACGAGCAGGGAGGGAGAGAGGTACAGCGAGCGACAGGACCAAGAAACGCAATAAACCAGGGTAGAATTTCTGGAGGCGAGCGCCCGGAGATCGACGCTGATTGGGACTGTCAAGGGGCAGGGCCTGGGGCTGTTGTCCTTTCTACTCTTCCTCCTCCTCATTCGCCTGCAATTCCTTCTGAAGATGTTCGGCAGGATGGTCCGAAAGAGCAAGGATCAAGCCCCGGTAATTAATCCCAGCATTATTGCCGCCTCGCGCCTCCCTCCCCCTCGGGGCTTCTCTGCTCCCATTGCCCCGCGACGGGGCAGTCAAATCACACGCTCTCCGATATATGAACGACGCGAGCGAGGGGGAGGGGCTGGACTTCGACCGAGCAACGTCGCCCTCGGGGCCAATCGTCGTCCCGTCATCCCTGGCTTCCATGAGGCCTGACAGCCCCCGACTGACTTTGCCTTAATTGCCTTTGACTCTCGAGTCGAAGACAACTGGAGCTCGCACTTTTGTCGTTATAGCAACCCCCGAACTCCACCGTCCTCGGGCCTCGCAGCACCGGTAACCGGGAGGGAGCTCGCCGCCACAAGCTCGTCGCACTCGAGAATGAACTCATAGTTCGTCGGAATCACTTTCCCGGGGGTTGGGGGTGGGGGTAAACTTCCGACAATCCCATCCATTCTCGGAGACCGGGATCTCCGAGCGATCGGATCGGATTCTGCAAGTCGCTGAATCCAACACAGTCACAGCAGATATCCACTCCGCGACCACATCTGCAGGCTTTGGAGGCGTGACCGGGAAGACCAAGTTAAAATAACCGAAAGCAGGCACGGGAAAGCCCCGTCGTGTCGTCAGTTACCGGCGAGATGGAGCCAAAACTCGAGCTAAAGTTGGAGATAAAGCGAAAGCCACGAATTTTCGAATCTCTGACAGGGGTCGAGGCGGCAGCCGGTCATATATCCAGATGCCGGACGGTCGTAAGTGATTCCACTGGAGAACATAGATCCGGCCGGCCGGCCGCCCCGTCCTTCGTCCATCCCATGATCTGGATTATCATTAATTAATTCGTGTCGCCAAAGAGCGAGAGGTTTGAAAATGCTTTGACTGGAAGAGAGGAAAGTATTGATCCGTGATTATGACAATACTGAAGGAAGGCCTTGAATTGAAGGTCCTCCGTATGATGATGAAGGCGAGGATGGAAATACAAATGCACCGGATCTGAAACGTCCGTGGATTTGGTCGACGAGCTTAGAATAAAGTCTGGCCTGTGGGGAGAGAGAAGGTTAAAAGTCTTCACGCCGGTCAGTACATTCTGTTTGAAAATGTAAAGAACATGGAGTCCGGGCAGGGCAGGGGGTGGGGGGGGGGGAGGGAAGGGGGAGAGGAGGGGGCAGGGCTTGGCAGGGCGGGTCATGTCAGTTCATTTGCTCCGATGCCTCGGCGCTGGCAATAGTTGACTACTAGTATAACCGCTAGAGGGGCGTACCGCGGGGGAGGGGCGTAGGTGCGGTACAGGGAAGGAAAGCAGGCGGATAACTGTAAGAGAGGGAGGGGGCAACAATAATTGGGGAATTGGGCGAGCGAGGGGACGGTGGAGATGGGATGTCGGCCAACGCACGACTGGATTGCGAGTTCGTGTGGAGCGTGGCGGTGGGGGGGCTGGGGGCTGGGGGCTGGGCGCGGCGGGGCCCGCGGCTCTGGCTCGGGGCTCTGACCGGCCCCACAGAAAGGCTCCCGTGGCTGCGCGCATCCGAATTAACGGTCCTGTCTTCTTTGACCGGCCTCGTCTGGTCTTCTCGCGCGACCGGAGTCGCAGGCGCAGGCAGCTGTGCGCGGTGGCCAACTCCAGTGGAACGCTGGGCGCCACTAGCTCGACTTTCCCTCCCTGTTTCTGTCCCTCGTCCTCCAACCCCACCCCCCTTCCCCGCTCTGCCCCTGCCCCTACCCCTACCCCTGCCCCTACCCCCGTCCTGTCCTTCTTTGTCGTGGTGGGGCGCATTGCTCCGCTCCCCCATCCGCTCGCTGCCACTCCCACTCCTCCCCGTGCTGCTGCTACAGCTCTACTCTACCACCGTCGCCACTTTCGATGATCCCCCCTTCATGTTCTAATACTCCCTCCTCCTGTTCTGCTTCTTGTTCTCCCTCTTCTGCGCTCTCCTTGTCGGTGTTCGAGCTTCGCATTCCTCGCGTTTCTCTCGTTCTCGTGCGGTTGGTCGTTGGTCACTTCGTGATTGAAAGAGCGAGAAATCGAGAGATTAGAGATTAGAGAGTAGAGAGTAGAGAGAGAGATTGAGCTGCGGGCGCTGAAGCCGAGCTTCTCGGGAGCTTGGAGGGGGGGGGGCACCGGTGGGTTCGCTTCTCCGCGGAATGTGGTGGCTCCGCTGCGACAATCGAGCCTTGCGGAACCCGAGGTGAGCGGGACTGATAGTGGGCACCGATTCTCACGCAGCTCGTGTCGGATTGGTGCATTCTTTCTTCCCTTCTCCCGCCTGCGGCCATCGAGTCGTCCCCGTGAATACACCCACCCACCGCTCTTCCTCATCGCCTTGCTCTGTCAGCTTCTTCTCTTCCTTCGCGCAGCGAGCGAGCGAGCGAGTGCTTGAGCGAGAGATTGAGAGAGATTGCGAGGAGAGGTGAAAGGAGGCGACGCGAGAGGCGCACCGCATTGCGTCGGAGCAGGAGCAGGAGCTGAGCTGAGCAAAGCAGAGCAGCGGCGGAAGCGGTCGAGGGAGAGGAGAACGGGGCAGGCAGCAGGCAGAGGGAGGGGATCATCGATGGTCTGGAGGCGCCAAAGTCCAGCGTGTTGAGGCGCAGCGTTCGCGGGGCAGGAAGCGCAGGGTGGGGGCGGGGGCAATGTCGGAGGCCAGGGGGATGGCCTGCGTGCCGTCGTATTACCAGTGCCCCATCTCGCTGCAGCTCATGCGCGATCCCGTGACGGTGAGCAGCGGGCACACGTACGACCGATGCAGCATCGAGCGCTGGTTCCACTCGGGCAACAAGACGTGCCCGGCCTCAATGCAGGTGCTCGAGACCACGGATCTCATCCCCAATCTGACCCTGCGCCGCCTCATCCAGGACTGGTGCCGCGCCAATCGCCAGGACGACCACGCCAAGGGCTTAATTCCGCAGCCGTCTGCGCACCCGAAGGATGTGCGGCGGCTGATCCACGCCATTGGAATCGGCTCCGGCAAGGAGCGCCTCGAGGCGCTGCGCCGCCTCCGGAGCATGGCCAAGGCCAGCGATCGCAACCGGCGCTGCCTCGTGGAGGCCGGCGCGCTCTCCACCCTCGGCGCCATACTCTCGTCGCACAGGTCGAGGATCACCGCGCGCAAGTGCGCCCTGAATCTGGCTGGCGAGCTCTCGAGCTTGCGCCTTTGGGACGAGGACTCCGACGAGGCTTGTGAGGAGGCGCTCGGCACTCTGGGCCTCCTCTCGCAGTGCGACGAGGCGCGCCACGCTCTGCCCATCGTCGGGCCCAGCCAAATGTGCGCCCTGTCCTGGTTCTTGTGCAGGGACGGCCTGGACGCCAAGATGAGCGCCGCCATGGTGCTGGGCAATCTGCTGATCGACGACGAGACCATGATGGAGCTGGGCTCGTTCGAGGGCGTCATGAGAGGGCTGGTCGACCTGCTCAAGGAGGATCTGTACCCCAAGGCTCTGAGCACCAGCCTCCGGGGGCTGCAGGCCATCTGCTGGCCCGAGCGCAATCGCCTCAAGGCCGTCCGCGTGGGCGTCGTCGAGGCCCTGGTTGAGCTGCTGCCTGGAGCGAGGCGGTCCGACTCCGAGAAGGCGCTGGGGCTGCTGGAGCTGCTGTCCGCGTACGAGGAAGGTCGCAGCGCGCTCTGCCGGCACGCGCTGTCCATCCCTGTGCTCCTCAAGAGCATCCTCCGCGTGTCCGAGACGGCCACGGAGCGCGCCCTCGAGACTTTGCTGCTGGTGTTCCGATTCTCGTCCGACCCCCGCCTGCACTACGCGTCCATCCAGCACGGCGCCTTCATGCAGCTGCTGCTCGTCATCCAGAGCGAGAGCAGTCTGGACATCAAGGACAAAGCGCGCGAGCTCCTCAAACTCCTACAAGTCCAATGCAACAAATCCGACCCCTGCATCCGCACCATCCGGTTCTCGTGATCACGCCGGGCTCACGTCGAGCCTCGCTCATCACATCCCACCCCAACCCAACTTTCAAGTATATATCACGCCCACACTCGCACTGGGTTCTTTTGATGTACAGTATACTCATAGAGAAGAGAAGCGCAACTCGTTGTGGCGAATTCGATTCGGAAGTCCAATTCTAGATGTCGGCGATTCGAGAGGAGGAACAGATTTTTGCACGGGTCTTGGACGCGACGCGACATCTTGCGGCGTTACTGTGTACAGTAGGCGATGGCTGGTAGATAGCCCGAGGATTGAGAGATACTAGAGCACTTCTGGAACGGCAGGCTCTGCTGGCTGTGTACATTATCAAGGAAAGAAATTTGCCTCACTTCAGACGTGTGGTTGTGTGTTATGGAATCCCATTTGTGATTGCACTCCTATGTTCCGTGTGGTCCTGAATCTTAATCCTTGCGATTCTTTTCTACTGCATTTCGTTCGGACATGCGACTCTTGGCCACTCGCCCCTTGAGCCTGTACTTTGCAGTATCCTTATCCGTGCTCCCGAATAAATACAGCATCGAGCACTACACGAGGTCGACATTTCGATTTTCAGGAGGCTTTTGTTGTCGAGTCATTTGAGGATATGGATGTAAGTTGTTGGTGGTGTGCCTGTCTGCATCCCGTGAACTTAGGCCATACACAGTGCACTAGATCACAGGCCCGTCTGACTGTCAGACGAAGATAAACATTGGACGAGCCCGTGGATCACGATCTATGAAGGGATGAGGGAGAAGTTGACGTCGGGGAGGGATGGGAAGGAAAGGAAAGGCTCCACACCGGAAGGAATCGAGAGCTGCATACTTTCCAGCTATGGCATTGTTCACACGTCGTCGCCGGGATGGTTGAAATCAACCAACGCACTCCTCGACCTGCATGAGCGAGGTGCGCCCACTTTACGTTTAGGGTTCAGATCGAGCGACACGGACGCAATCGATCCGCTCTCCTCCGCTGAACAGCGAGAGCCATCAATGTGTGGATTCGTGTCTCATCCGAGCCTTGGATTTGAAACCGGTCAAGGACTCGAGGTCGAGACGTCAACATCAACAACAACAATATCATCATCGACAACATTCAGCAGTCCTGCACTGTCCTGCTTCGATTCCACATGGGAGGCGGAATCATCGGATCATGATCATGAAGGCTGAGGTGGATGCACGAGAAAGATTATCGGTCAAAGTCTGGTCGTCGCTCGCTCGCTCACTGCCTGTTGTTGCTGCTGCTGCTGCTGAAGCTGGCAGACAACAGCAGATCAGGGGCCCCACCAGCCCCCGAGCTCTGACGCTTTGCTGTTTGGAAAAGCGTGATGGATCATGTATCTGTCCCTCCCTCTGGCACTCTACTAACACTAAAGCGTCGTCACCCGGAACGAACTCTCCGACCCTTTGACCCTGATTTGACCGCCATCACTCACCCCCTCTCTTCTCTTCTTTTCCTCCCCCCATCATTTCCGTTCCTGCCTCCCTTTCGAACCCCTGGCCCAACTCCAAGCCCTTCCGACGTGGCACACTCTGCCACCACCTCGCCAACTGCGACCCACGGCTTCTGTGAACTGCGCTGCCCGGTTCGGTTCCCGGGCACATCCTCTTCTCGACTGTTCTTCTACCGAATAGTTCTAGAGATAGCCCCCATGCAGATGGTGGAATTCTGTCGGACTGAATTCTGAGTGGCAAGAGTGGAGGGACGAAGAATAGTCTTATAAACTGTTCGTGTAATTGATGTTTTGGGTTTGGTTTAAGCTTACCTTCGCTTGATTTCGGCTTGCGCTATCTGCCCTTCGTCTCCATCTACTACCCTTTGGTTGTAGATTTCTGTCTTTGGGTCTTTGGGACTCTCCCTGTTAAATTATTGTTATAATTATTTCGATGGATACACTAGCAATATTTCGTAATCTACTGGACGGTACATCTGAAGAAGAATAAACAGTGGACCCGGATGTTGGTTTTTTGTCGCAAGTACAAGGATACATTGGCATGGGCCGAAATAATCGGAGTATCATGACTGACACATAAGTCCTCACGAAAATCACGCAAAAGGCTTGACGGGAGCCGGGAGATACATGTACGGATGCCTGAAAAGGCACCCTTAAAATTGAATGGTGACACCCTTAAACATTTTCGGTCAAGATCGAGCATTTCAGGAAAGAATATCGTCTCTCTCTGTTATGGTATTCTCATTTCTGGACTTTATTTAATATTATTATTTTTGGACCTGTTCCCGGAAGCCACACAAGAATTATTGAACGGTGACTCGGTTTCATGGGGATCATTTAACTCGCGCATCTATAGATTTATGGGTCTATCTTGAAACCACTTAATGCATTTCCAGATGTGACCAACATTCATTACTATGGGGATGAAGTACCGGCGTTATTCAAGTACTGGAGTGTACACGGAAGTACATGAAATGTACTATACAGCACACATTTTCGTCCGCAGAGAGTACAGTAGAATTGCGAGCGAAAGGAATCCACAGCCGAAGCGCGATTGATTATTCTTCAATTATTACGTCCAGGAAACAGAGGACTGCGCAGTATTTTGAAATGTCGACAAAGAGCCCCGGCCCGGGCTGGGCGTTGTCCTTCTGCCAGTTCATAATAAACACTTCTAAACGTCCAGCCCCGATTCGGAGCCGTGATCCTTATTAGACATGCGTTCCAAAATCCACTCCGATCTTCTCCTGGGCATTAATTTGCGACCGCCATCGGACATCTTCACCGCCTACACACTCAACCTTTGGCTCCCCTTGTTCCACTAAGCTTCGAAAAGTACACTACACCTCGTCCACTTGGTCCTCGGAGCTTTCCTCTGACGTCGCATGCCCAAGTATTGACTCGAGTTGGACGTAGCAGGATTGTCCCATTTTGAGGATTTTAGTGACCCTGTCCCGCTGTTCTAGGACTTGTCTCTTCCCTCCAACGGAACATCGTGTCGTCGCCCCGGCTCGTAGGGGCTGGGTTTGCAGCCTCACTAGGGTCCCATTTCCAAGAGATAAACAACATCTACAACGTGGAAAGATGTGCTACAAGATTGGTTTATTGATTCTTCTTTTTAACCCTTCTCATTTCTGCTCACTAGGCCTTGCATGGTGGATTTTGTCGTCATGACCTTCCATCTGTTATTAAAATCAATTGAACTGCGTGCGCATATAACCCTTGGGGTTTCACAAAAGCCAAATTCACGCAGTCCTTGATAACATTTTGGGATTTATGGCAGGTTTCGGAAAAACCTTTAAAATTTATTTTTTTGAATATTGGCTACCTTTCCGTTAAACCCCTCACTTTTGCGCGGAAATATATATAATGTACATGTAATTCATTTATGATTACAAATTAGGGAGATCTAAATTTAAGAAGCTTCTCTTAAACCAATCAATCAAATGAAGGTGTAAAACTTGAAATAGTAACATAGATTCATGCAAGCTTATGAAGTCTATTCCAAAAACAAAACATTCTGATTAACAATGTGAATATCATTTACAATATTAGCTCTATCTTAATTTTTGCTCAATCTTCAACACTTTTGCATGTTTAAAACCATCTATTTGTATGGAGATTTAAATCTTAGGTAAAATTAAGACATCGGTTCTAAGAAATTAATCTTCTAATTACACTTCTCTTGCAGGATGAAAGTATTCTTGAAAAAATAAAAACGTAATGGTAATTTCTGCTCCAACATCAAGGCATATTTTGACGCACACAACTATTGAAGAAAATATTTTTTAAAATATTTTTTACATACAGCAATTACAGCAGCCTATATATTTTTTACTGTCAAATTTTCACATTTGTTTTTGTAGCAATCATTTTTACACATGATTTGTACATCATTTTGATGATATTTTTATGCATCAAGTTATAAATTCTCAAGATTCCACTATTATTTTAGTAATGTGCAATCTACAAATTAACGATATCTACTTAAATTATTATAGGCTTGGCAACGGCTCGGTTAATGGTTAAACATTAAAAAAAAAAGGTAAACTAATTGACTGCTACATTCAAAACTTTTGGAGAAACATAGACTCATGCCAAGTTTTTTCATTTTTTAAGAAGATTACTCTCCGAATAAGCGGTTATAGCTTTTAAATTTCATCATCATCTCCATGTTTTCATCCAATAATTTTGATAAATCTCGACGAACAAATCCACTACTCTCACAAAACGCAGATTCAGATGCCACAAAACAATCTTGAATCATCAACATGTCCGTGGCCATTCTAAATACGATCATGAAGCGATTGTAGTGCTATTTCCACCACAGAAGTATGTCGAACACATGACGATTCGCTTTCGCCGTGAGCATGAAGAAGTTGTCTACCTCATTTGTGTGTGCAGCTTTTTCAATGGCACTGTCTCCCTCTCCAACAAATAGTTTGAATACACAAGAAGTTGGAGGTAGTAGTTCCTCCTAACACAAGTCATATTTCACTGTCACAATGAATCAAATTAGGTCTTTGAGTTCCATCATTTTGGAGAACGCATTGTTGGATTGAGTATGAAGAAGCAAAGCAAATTTGACGGCTTGACAATTCAGATTGGCACTATATTTCAGCAATTTGAGCTCCATGGCAACAACAGCTTTTTTGACTATCAAAGTGGTGAATCTTGTGTCTAATTGTAATCATCTTTAGTTAGTTAGAACTAAAGTAGAGGTTATTTTAAATGTTGGTATAGATACTTTAGCGTGCACTAGTCATAGTTGCCACGTCAGCGATCCACGCGCGTGGTAAGTAGAGAGTAGGTGTGTGAGTTGACAGTATCACGTTATCGATCCGTGTGCTTGTTAGGTAAGGATTGAGTGTGTTAGTTGGGAGCACCACGTCATCGATCTGTGTGCTTATTAGAGTTATCCGCCACGTCATACATCCACTAGGTGTGGGATAAATGGTGGGTATCAAATATTATCTCATTGTACTTGTTGGTGAGAGTTATATAAGGAAGAATAGAGCTATTGTTTGTTTCTGTCATCTTTAGAGTTTATGTTTACATCTTCGAGTGAACTTCTATCTAAACCCTAATGTTACACAAATTGTGTAGAATAGGTTTTTTTGCACAGAATAAGGAGATGCTTGTAGATCAGAGTTGGATGGATAAATTAGGTCTCATGTGACGAAATGAAAGTAGGTTAAATCAGACCGATGGTTTAACGCTAGTCAGACAAGTGAGTGGCCAAGCCTAATTTTAAGAGTAGGTTATAAGAATACTACATTGGTCAATTAAGAAAATTTTTAATGCTTGAATATTTATACATCGTTATTGATAAATTAAAGCAAGTTATAGTGATACTTTTATTAATATTTTGATAAATTAATAATTATTAAGATTTATAGTCATCATTAAAATTTTGAAGCCATTTATATTTTTTGATTCATAATATTTATGTTATGAGTTAATAATGTGATCAAGTTAAATTTAATTTAAATCTATATCATTTTACTAGATATCAAGGTAACATTTTTCATTTTCATTGGTGGATCACTGTAATTTAACGATAGCTTTTAGACAAACGTATAATGACTTTGTGTAAATTTGATTCTTTGATGAGTAAACATTAAAAAATAAAAATTTTAAATTTTTTTAAATAATTTGAGCTGAAAAAGATCTGTAAGTTAAGAAGAGTGAATTTATTTTATTAAAATAATTTAAATTTCTTCTTTAAGGTTTTTTTAGATATCAACAATATTGAAAATCATATTGGTTTAAATTGAAATTTGATAGTAAAACTATTTTTTTCCAGAAAAAACATATTTGGAAAAATTCATAAAAGTGGAAGTGATTTATATATCGATATTACACACATATGTTAATATATGAAATAAAATCTATCAAATTGAATTACACTCTACTGTATTATATTCTTTAAATTATTGAAATTTCAGATATTCACTTGATAATAAATGATAGAATGCATGAAATGTGATCTTCTTAATATACCTTGAAAGCTATGAGAACATGAACTGAGAGCTCGTTCATCATCTTGCCATTAGCTGGATCTATATGAAGGTGAGAGCTCATACTCTTACTCCATCATCATCTTGCCATTCGCTGGATCTATATGAAGGTGTTTATATCGCGTTAGTGTATCTGTTGAAAGATAGGTAGACTACTTGTTTTGCTCTGTACATCTCCTAAATATCAGCAAGTCAACTGACTGTTGTATTTTACCAGCTCTAACTTCTAGGGTTTAGTCCATAGTTTCCTGTGTAATTAACTGCTTTTACTGCTTGGCTTTTAACAATTTTTTTTCTGTCGTACTTGAGTGCATCAGTATTGACGTGATGATTTACTTTGATAAGCATACATAACGGGGAGAAACTACTGTTTTGAAGCGTTCAAACTTTTAGTTTCTTGAGACAGCCTGTCAGGGTTACTGAAGTTTGTTCATGCCCTTGTCGGCCATGACAATCTCGCACATTTGTTATAAAATTGTCAACAAGTCTCAAAAGTATATCTTTTAAGGCTTTCGGAAACTTTGTGAACTATTGAGTTAATAATATAAAGAAACTTCTTACAAAATTGAACTTTCACAATCTGTAAGTAGCTTGAACCGATGATAAGGAGGAAACTATTGAGGTTAGTATTTCGTGGACAGGTATACACTCCTAGGATTACTCAACGAAGCTTCTGTACCTCCGATCAGCATGCATTTGTTTGTGCTCTGCGTGTGATGAATGAAATTTGAGAACACGACCAGGAGTGTGATACACATTACTTGAGCAGTAATTCAATATACATTGATTAGAAAACTGATGTAATAAAGTCTTTCCACACGATGTACGGTTACATCATATGAATGTTTCACAGGCATAACCAAAGTCTGCTAGTCCAAGATTTACTACCGGCTATGATAACTCTTCACATCAGGCATTTGCATTACTACACATAGTCAGCTTTCAACAGTTCACGTGCTTTGAAACTTATCTAACTGACCAAGTCTAGAAACAGGAGGTTGTCAAGCTTCCCGTTTTAATGACAGGAGGCGACAACCGTACAATGGCTACAAGTCATGCAACGCCATCTTGGTTGTGAATGTCCTGCCTACAAAAGTGCTGGGTGAAAACCTTTAACTACATCACAACCCGAACATTAAGTACTAACCCTCAAATCCTGCGGAGACCGTGCTCGTAAATGGGTAGGCGCACTTGTCGCAAGCGCTCAGAGCTTATGATATCTTCTCTCTTCAGATGTGATATATTCTGCATCTATCTAGATTTATCCCAATCTGTGCCAGGCAACGTGTACTATCGGCCTGAATCAACTTACATTACTAGGGCGTGCACGCACTAAAACGCGCCAGAACCCGCACACATGTCTCTGTTAACATCCCAGACACAGACATTAAGACAGAAACAGGAAGCTTTTCATGCCCAGCGATGAAAGACAACAGACCAGTGTTTAATTGTGGTTTATATACCGAAAGAAGCGACCTCCCTCTCGCGACTTCATACGATATGATTTGTGTGTAGAGATGAAGGTTTCACAACTTTACTCAGGGAGTTGAGCGGTCTGTGAGGAATGGTGGTCAGTACAAACAGTTTCAATTCGGCATAGGAAATTTACACAGCACCTCTGCGGGTACCCAAAGCCTTCCAGTTGGGAGTTTAAAAACGTAAAAATGGAACATTATGGCCTCGATAGCCAGAGTGTGACTACCACATGACCCGCACGAACTACGTATGCGCAGGGTACCAGCAAAAATATGGCTGCCGAAGCCACGACCCAAAATGAATTTTGTGACACTTATACGGAGAACTCATAGTACAAAATGAGGCACATGAACAAACACTCGTCGATGCAGAGCAAATCACAGCGTGTACTCCTAATGTCACCCAGCTCAATTATTTCCGGGCATCTGCTTTCTTGGCCTCTTTAGCTGTGGATTCAAAACGAAGACAGAGAAGTAAACGGTCAGAGTCTATTTAAAGACTATTTAATGAAGCGCTATTTTATCACTTAGCTCATTACTCATTAGCCAGATGTATGAGGGAGGGTCAGGACATGAGAGGTTGAATGCGAAGAGAAAGATGCTCTTTGTTTGAACAGGATGCTGAAGAACCACTCCCAGCGACTGCTACTGTCCCTATTACTCCATGGCATTGAGGGATAAATGATTTGAATCGAAAGTCGCGTCTCGAACATGACATGCGTGACAAATCTACACTGGTTAACTTATGCGCTGCTAAACGAAAGATTCATGTTACCCGATACAGTTCGTTAACGGCAGCCATTTTTGAAAGTTACCTCACTGCTATTTGAGGTTCATTCACAAGCATTTCCCTGACTGACAAAATGACGATTATCGAGAGCTCGGTTACCTGCTTTCTCCTCTTCGCGCTTTTTAGCAGCTTCCAGTCGTTGTTGCCTAATAAGGGCAAGGCGTTCTGCACCAGGAATGAATTATCTAAATCAGAAACTTGGAAATAAAAAACGGAAAAGAATGTGGAGAAGATGATCGAGGAATAGCATCTTCACGAATTTCACAAGCTCTGCTGAATATCTACATGATTGGTCATTGATTTGAGAGACGGTAAGTAACGATTCAGATACATATTTTGCATGTCCCTATTCATCGATAGTCTTCATCGAGAATAGAAACTACATTGTTGACCTGTAATGCCACAATCTCCACTTTGTCATACCTCGGCTTCTTTTCGTGCTTCGTAACCAAGCCTACATGTTCTCCACTCCCTATTGCATATATCCCATATCGATTGAACTCACCTAAATCCTTCTTAGATTGCTCGGTTTTGCCCTGTTCCTGGAGCTTCAAATAACGCTCATGAGCGCGTTGTTTTTCCAGCTCCTCTCTACAATATTACAGACGTCAGATGCCCATCGTTGTTAGATCCTCATCCATCGCAGCTTCTCGAGTGTAAAACGAGAAAAACTAGCTCACTTCAATCGCTACTGTTGTGTTGTAATGATTCCCTCCAAGAGAAACCCAAGCATCACTAAAAGATTTCAACAAAATCTGTACTGACCTCTCTCGTCTCGAAAGCTCCGCTGGTCTGTCAAGCTGCCACAACCACATAATCAAAGAGAAGAAAGAGTTTAGCATCTTCATGACCCAAATCAACGAACCCCAACGAGTACAAATGCAACTGAACCAGAAGAGAAAACAAAAAGCATGCAGAAATCCTTGGCAGAAAAAAAGAACTGAGGTTCGAGGCTTTACTAAGAAAAGACAGTCAATCAATCTATCGTGCTCTCCAACCGTATCCTAGAGAGTAGAACCTGGATCGGATAGGTTTGTACAACGACAGGAGTATTTGTAAAGAACACACGACAGTTTTCACTACACGAACAACTTACATCCACATCTTTAGCCTTGATGTTCTTCGCTTTCACTAAGTTAGGATTCTCAATCTCAATGACACCTTGTGCTCCCTTCTTCTTCTGCAAAATGCCGCAATGAACGAAACCTTCAGAAAGAGTACACAAATCTAATACTTCAGCTCGATAAAGCCACGTCTACCTACATGTGAAGGCAATATCATACGAGGCAGTGCAGGTTAGGCAAGTTTTACCGCACTCTCGTCCTCAGACGACTCCTCCTCCTCTTCTGATTCTTCCTCTTCTTCTTCCTCTTCCTTGGCGTCCTGTATTGGCAGAAGTACAACGAAGTGTAAATTGACATCACTTTTCCTCCAGCAAGTACGGAGAATCAGATAAGAAAACACAGTCCAACGTCATCTGATCATCAAGTCTAAAACTTGAACTCCAATGGGTGTGGAATACCAAAAGATGAAATGAAGGAAAAAGAGAGCATTGTATTTGATTTAGGTGACAATCGACATGAAAGTGTGAACTATTAACAGGAGAAAGCAGACGGTGTGAAAGTAAAAGTTTGAACTAGGCGTAAAAGACTTACTCTTTTGAAACTCCGAGGTTTTCCAGACGTCCCGGCAGCTGTGGAAAAAAAACACTGACATCAGTTCTCGCATCCATTTACTGAGTCAAAAACTTTACGAGGCTGAAAAGAAAGCGTTCTTCCCAAAGAAGTTGGAGAAGCTGAAAGGAAAGGCCCGCGCTGTGGAAAGAAGGGTATATTATGAACGTTCCACACTTCTTGAGTGTCGTATGACGAGACTCAAGAAGTGTGGAACGTTGAAACAGTAATTCCACGTTTGGGGTTAAAAAAAGATGTCAAAATGACGATTCGTGAGCCTGACAATTGGAGACAATCTTATCCCAGTTATGGAGAAACAACAGTTGAGACGATGAATTACATGCGACCGTATAATAAAAAGAGCTATGCTTTTGAAGTCAAAGTAGCAAGTTACGGGGCGTTCAATAACTGATGAGGCCAGTGGTAAAAGAGAAACTACTTCTACATCGTATGATCCAACCGTGATGATCACTAGGTACATTCATTTCACACACAGTTCAACACTGACCCAACGTGAACGCACGCTATCAATGAACAGCCCATGCGTACAGTCAGATGCTTCAGAGGTACTGACAAGTATGCGACCTCCAGAGAGGCTTGGCTCAGGAATGTCCCAAAAAAGGGACAGCCAGGCTAATGAACCCACCAAAATAGTAGGCATTAGACAGTTCAGCTATGAGATCACAATAGGCAGAAGAAATAAAACACTGATCACACATTAACAATACCGCTAGTAAGCACGAAAAAATACCTGAGACGTAGAACACTGTAAAGGTTTGTGGCAGCGTCAAAGATGCAGCATAGGCGAGATGTGGAAACCAAGTACAAGGAACTACGAACTGTAAACAACCGTACCGTACATCCTGAATTACAACCGCTCACAACTATATTCATTGGCGCGGTTAATTACCTGCCTAATGACCTGGACAAAAACGTACTTAGCGTCCGGGCTTTTATCACATCCATTCTACGTGTACTCCACCTGATACTTCAGGAGGCTCCAGTATGTAATGCACTATGCAAATGCCACCACTACTTGACAACCCGTCAAATTTGGTAATATGAACTTTCGTGACATCGTACTGAGAACAAAAACTACTTTTACTCAGGAACCAATTGAGAATACTTATACTTAGAACATGCAGTTCACCTGTTGACCTTGAGAAAAGATTTTCTATCAGGTATTTCTACCGGACAATCAGAACAAGTTTGTGTAAAGTGATCTTCACAAATCCTTCATAGCAAGTGTACAGGACAGTGTCTTGTAGAAATCAATTCACTTACAGAATCCAGCTGTCATGTAAACTCTAATACTTAACAGTGAACCGTTAAGTCAAATTTTCTCGATGCGTCAAAAGAATTAGTACCAAAATGATCCTCGTCCTGGGTTTAAGATCCAACCGGTCTTACAGTGTGTTTGGTGTAATTTGCTTAGACTGTAACGGTAGATAACATGGTTCCTATTCCGAGTGCTTGTTACTGCTTCCATGACCAGATACTGCTCTTGACCTCACTATATTCTAAATACAAAAATTCAATGAGTACAGAGTGCCTGTCAAAATTGGAGCACTCGTTGGAGAAGAAGCCTCTCGGCAACTCCGCTTGGAAGTGTCAGGTACGGAAATTGCACCAGCAGTAATATTAAATCATGGTCTGAAAAGCAGTGAGGGGAAAGTTCAAATACCACACGCCGGTATGAACGAAGATTTTCAGATACAGGTAGATAAATTTAAAAGTCAAGTAGAGAAATTGGTTAACAATCATTTTTGGAGAGACTGAAGCTGACTTGTGTCAAGTTCCAGCTTGCCGAGTACAGTGAGAAAATCAGCGTGTAGTGACTTCCATAAGAAGTAATAAATGAGAAACCAACGTGGCCCAAAAAAATATCATTTTCTTTGAAATTCCTCCCGGGACCTAAACATGACATGCAGAGAACACTGCGTTGCTGTGGTTTCTGATTCCAGCAAGAAACTCATATAAACATGTACTACGCTACCAAGAAACTCTCAAGGAAAAGATCACAACATAAACACAGGCTAAAATTCCACTTCAAAGTTCTTCAATCTTAGACCGGAACATCACTTCGAGCCAAGGACGATGAGAGCACTCAAGCTAGTGCACACATCGTCCTCGAGTCGAAGTGAAAGAGTGAGATAGTGAAAGGGGGGCACGAACGAAAGAAGAAATTGACAAATCCCTCTGGTAGGGTTTGCAGAGCACTCTTACCCATTTCCTCGGGGGTCGAGAAGTGGCGACGGCCCGTAGGCTTGCCCTTGAACTTCCCTCTGCCCGCCCCGCCTCCCATGGCTCTAGACCGTCAAACCCTTCGCTACGATTTCAGAGGCTCAAAGCGACTCCAATTCCGGACGCACGCACCGCTACCAAATCCCCTCCTGCCCCTCGTCCTCTGATTCTACCGTTCGCTCGAATCCTGCGCGCATCCGATTCCAGACGTTCAGCCCAAACCCTACGCCCGGCCCAGTCCGTCCCCTTGAGCCCGTTGGCTGCCAATCGACAACAACGGCAACGATGATTGCACTCGTACTAACCCCAAGCCCTGGCTCCCGGCAAACAGCAAGAGGTGATCGGCGAATCCCGCATTGGAGGTCTGATGGAGGCGACCGAATTTCCTGACTCGCAGACGCAGCGCAGTTTATGGCCCCGACTGTCAGGCTCGAGAGCACGAAGGAGTTCGTCGCGCGCTGTCGATCCCCTTGCGCTGACCCGCTCGCTCGCTCGCTCGCAACAAACCCTAAGCTCCTCTGCCTCTGCGTCTGTCTGTCACAGGGGCCAACAACAGAGACGCCCTCCTCCTCTCTCCCGTCGCGCCCTCGAATCCCTGGACCCCCTAAAGTGCGCTTATATTTGTGCTTACGACCTCTATTCCTCTCTAATATTAGTCTTAATACACAATCTCATCGCCTGCAAATCGCCATCCTTAATCTTTCAACTAGGGTTGAACACAATCTCAAGGTTTGTGATTTTGTCTCGACAATGTAAGTTCGGCAAGTGAGTGTGATTTTTTTCTATAATTTTGATTACCAGCTATGAAAGTCGTCGTTTTCCATCATTAATTATAAGTTTGTATATGGTACTCTTGGCCACCTTCTTTCGTTCCTATAAGGATTGAGATTTAAATCCATATCCTTATTTTCAGAACATTTTAAGGCTGAGTGATTTCATAGATACTTGCACAAACCTAAAGAATCATGCACATCTTTTATTCTTGTTAATATGAAATATTCCGTTTTAGGTTTGGTAAGTTAATATGTTTCAGAGATGTAATCATGGATCATCAGATTTACCATAAGTCGTCACAACAATGTTCTTGTATCATTTTAGCTATTAGGATGCAGAAGTAATTCTAGACTATCAATTTAAAGAGTCATCAATTAATAGCTTGCGTCTTTATACCAATGAGTTGACATCGAGGTAGTATATACAAATCTTCATCCGTTAGCATAAGACTATCCAGTAAGTGGATACCAGTTCTATGTACATTTTTTAAGTGATCAATATATCGTACATCCAACTCTCTACAACACAATATGCACAAATGATGATGATTTTGTCTTATTTAGATCCAATTCAAACCAAGGTATCAATCTAAACACATATATAAAACAACTTCTCATGAACTCTCTATATATTCGGATAATCATTTGTCTTGATTTTATACATTCATCATTAAGTTTGAATAATATGTATCAACTTTAGTATTTTTAAAAATTTTAAAAATAAAAAATATGAATTTTGGTTTATAATAATATTATTAATATACAGTCTATTATTGATTATATATTTTTTCTGACAAAATGTTTCAGTACTTTGTATTGATGTTAAAATAACTAATCAAACTGTATAAATGCAACATCCCGTGAAATATTTCTCAAAAATAAGCTTAAATATTTTTTAACTCGATTTGATATTATCACAATTATATCACTGTTTTCATTTTCTTGTTTGATCAAATTTCTACATCTGTTTATTTCATATCAACATTATAGAGATAAAATGTTCAAAATGACACTATAGAAACTTTGAATACAGTATATTTACCAAATTTAAAAATATGTAAGTTTTCACTTTTATCTTTGATAAATTGAACTATGAACAAAAATATGACCACAATATATTTTTTATTTCATCAAAAATGCTGAAAATCTCAAAAAAAAATTGCTTATTATTCATCGCTAAAATTTTATTAAAACCTCATGTACATATTTAATTTTTCAAATACAATTTTGTAATTTTTTGGATTTTTTGTTTTTATTTTAATTATAGTAGAAAAAATTATTCCTTAAAGAATCTTTGGATCAATTGTGATTGTGATATGTAGATTTTTATGTTACTTGAAACATAATCCATCAAAAACACTGATTACAATAAAAAAATTTGCCACTATAATCGTGATGCATTTATTTCAATGTAATTTAAGATAAAAAAATAAAATGAATTTTGTTTTTAATATTATTTTGATGTTGAAAATTGAAATCGACAATTAAAAAAATTAATTAATAAAGAAGAAAATATATATACAAAATTTGATGTTGATAAATATTTTTAAAAAATTTCAATCAAATTTAATAATACAAAAATATAGAATTTGTTGATTTTAACTATTCTTTCATGAATTCCATGCAATTGGAATTTGAAATACATTTTCCAGGCTCCTATTTTCACATTTTTCATAAAAATAAAATTTTATCAATATTGAATCAATATTTTTTAATTAAATTTTAGCGAAAATTATAAAAATATTGCAGGAAAAATTGCATTTATAATTTTCTTTTTATCATTTTTTACTTTCATGATCTTAGATTTAACCTGGATATATATCTATATGAGTAATAAATTAACTTCATGCATTTTTTTACTAAGAACTCAAATTATTCATATCAAATTAATGAAGTTTTTTTGGATAAGATCAATGATTTTATTGTCATGAATACATTAAAGTTTGTTTGTTGCAAGAAAATTCATCAACATTGGACAATATTTGTAATTTATTATGAAAATGATGCACATATCACAAGATAATTATTCTTAAATTTTCACTTTGTATGAATTTTAATTTTTGGAAAAAATATTTATTTTCATTTTTAATTTCATAATTATGTCTCAAATCTCCCAAAATGTGAAGAAGTTTAAATTTAGTTTTATTATTTGCTTGATGATTTAAGATATGTAATTTCAAACCATAGTATCAAATGATTGAATAATTGAAGTTAAATTAGCATATAAATATGTTTTCACAATTTATTATATATCATGAGACAATTTTCTGATTTTTGAATAAAAAAATAATTGCAAGAAGTTTTTTTAGATTCGATAATCAAGCGAGACAAAATCATAGAATAGAAGCCATGACATATTGCTCGCATGAAAAATTTTAAAAACTATTCAATGATAAATGCATAATCCAATAGACAACTACATCTTTGATGATTTGTGTTAGTACACTCTTAGTAGCCGTTTATTGGCAGAAATTACATAGATGCAATTCAAACAACTCGTGACAACACAGCGAAGTTTAAAGTCAAATAAAAATTCAAGCACTTGTAGGTTGAAATGATGATTAAAATATATTTTTCACTTGTTTGAAAGAGATTGTGTATCTTTTGATGGTGAATCACATGAGACTGAGCTGTCCAGTGAACTTTGTGCACGATGAGAGAAAAGTAAGAAGCAAAGAGATTAGAAAACTTTTCGAAGGAGATTTTTGTTGACGTGAGATAGTGGAGCCGCCTGATCCAAACGACTAGAAAAAATCTTCAAGAATCAGAAGAGAAGAAACGAATATATGATTGAACGCACTTGATAGGGAATGCAAATATCGTGTTCGAAGTGAAAGAGAAGTTTTTAAAATTGATAGTACTGAGGTCAACCTCATAGGTTAAATAGAGTCCTTTGTATATAATGGTTTTAATGATCACATATCATGAGGAGCTTAAGTCTCACACTTCACGCGAAGAGATTAAGCGCTAGTGTTGAGAATGTTAAGACGGAAAATAATAAATATTAACTAATATAACAATGTATTAGACTCCTGCATAATCAAGCACTGTGTCAACAACTCAGAACAAATTAATCTGACTAGATGCGTTAATCTTGTCTTGACATGTAACTTTATCTTCTATCAGGCCACCACTATCAATTACTTGCCCAGATCAAGTGGGTGAGTTATTGACAATATGTCCAAAAGCTTAAGGTAGCAATCTACTTGAGCTTCAAAGTAGTTCAGTGTATTTCAAATTACAAAAAAAATGATGAATTTTTTTTACTCTATTGAACAGGTCAGAACAAAATAGGTATTTAATTAACTAATTTCGGAAAGAACAGTTGTTAACCATTTTTCAAAGCGAGCTTTAATAGATTGCGTAGCAAGGTGCATCTGCGCTATTAGTGCTAAACAGAGAGGTTCATATTCTGCATACGCTACCCTCCCACATGGAAAAATGTATTGATATTTACGAAGGGTTTGCTCATTCCTGTACCACTTCGAATTTTATTTGGCATAATGCTTTAGGTGACAATGCCTTGATTGAAAGGTAACAAAGATTTAGCATTTAAAACTGAAACTTTTGAGCGTCACACGACAGAATGTTGAGCACATGTCAAGCTCAAGCAGAGGCACCTAAGGACTTGTCATAGTTATCAATGGGAGAGTGTGTGATGAGTTCTGAACGGTGCAACGAACGAGGGATGAATGAAACTAAGCAGGACCTTTTCAACGAGTAAGGGCCAAGTGGATAGAAAAACGAGGGAAGGTCCCATAAAGCTTAAAAAAGAAGAGACCGAACTTTTAAGAGTGAGTAATTTCAGAAAATATCGTGATGAGAAATATATCCAACGACATCCTATTTTCACATGAATAAAACACTTTCTTGTGGTTCGGATAGCAGGGCTAGATAAAACACTCTGGTTTTGATTTCCCACATTTTCAGTTTATTAATTATTTCCTTTTTTCAAAAAAGTCGAAATTCGAATGGAAGATATAGAGAGATGATGGTGGAGTGTACTTTATACGGACGACACACTATCACAAGATCTCAACTTAGTACAAACTGCGTACCTGTTTCAAATGTGTCTGCTCGGCAAAGTAATATCTTTTTGAATTTTTATAAGAAGATAAATGGAACTGGCTGAAAATTTTTTTTCTTCTTGTTTTCAAAGCTTTATATTTTCATTGTAGATGAGGTAATTTTAGGAGAGCCGCTGACTCTAACTATCGTCCATGCACGCTTCACATTGGATCTCGCCCACTACCCATCCTTCAATATTTGTTTTAGCAGCTCAGGTTCCAGCCCTCTTTCTCATTCCTAAGAAAAGGTTACATTTGGAAATAGTTCGAGACCACGTGGTCAGCCACGAGGTCGCTCATGTTTGTGGGACGAGGCGTCGTGACTAATGAGCTCTGCTGGCCGACTACCATGGACTTCCACGTTGTCCAACCCTGATCTTTGCAGCATGCTGTCCACTCTGGATTTAAAAGCCTCCTTCTCATTCTTCCTTCCCATTTGCTTTTGCTTCAGACATATCTGGACAAGTAGCCATTGAATATCCACGCCAGCACACAATAGGTTCCCGAGTTAGAGACAAACCCTCTCCTCACCTTTCTATCAAGAGACTCTTCATATTTTTAACAATAGCTAGCATTTGAAAGGGGCCAAGTGGATAGAAAAAATAACTAGTCGCTGGGAGTCTCCTAATAATAGGTACGTTCCAAATTACCAGTGCTTGATTTACGAGGAAATATTATTAAACAAGTAAAATGAATGCTGTATTATTTCATATGATTGATATATTTTTTATATCATATATTAGTCTTTTGTGGAATGAAAATCATTAGAATAAAATCTAATCAATATTATTTAGATAAATGATAAAATATCCAGTTAAATATAGGTGAATAACTTCATATAATGTGGCATTCTGTCTTGTTGCTCAGTAAAACTTCAAAAATAAAGTAACTCAAATTTGCCACTACACTCTTTCATGCTTACAATATAGGTTGGTAAAAAATACTACAATTTTAAATCAACATTGAAATATCTGGATTTAAATTTGTGTTAAGATTCATTCAATTTGTGTTGACATATTATATTCCCGGGAACGCATCATTGCCGAGCAACAGAACGTGTCCAGTCACAGCTCAAGAGCATGAGTCATGTTCCCCACGTATTAATCTTATGGGTAGAGATGGGTCGAAGGCAGGACAAAAGCTCATGTCAATCCACGTAGTCCTAAACAAGAGAAATTGATAAGAACACTCCCGTCGCTGCTGTGCTATCTAGCGTTTGCTCAAGTCACACATCGGCTCGTGGAAAAGGAGATGGCCCATCAGTAATCTGATCATCAATTACCCCACCCCATCAGCAATGGGGGAAACTTTATCACCCACCTTTGGTGCTTCAAAACACCCATCGCGTAGATGCCCATTTCACCTGTAGATTAGAATTCCATCCTTCTCGTTTATTTAGGCCCTGCTCGGCTGCTTCAGAAAAGCCAGCCCACTTTTCCACAAGGAAGAAGTGTCCATAACCTCGCTCTTTATAATTGTTCTGACAAAAGATCTGGATTTCATGCGGATTGATTCACGTGCAACAGTCTAATACACCAGGAGCTGGGGTCTAATAAACATAAAACTGGATCAAAGCACTGGAGCTTTCCCAATTACAGCTCTTACTTACAGCATCATAATGCTGAGGCTGAGCAGAGAACCGGCTACAATGATCAGCACGAACCACAGCCCCCACACTCCATGAACACTCCATCACGAGCACCAGTGTGTACTCACTGCCAGTAGGTAGCCGCTCAGAGTGGCCAAACTTCTGACGACAGGACAGTAGTAGAGCTGTGAATCTCAGCTCCAGATGTCAAGTCATAAGCTAGAAAGCATTTCAGGATTCGCTCCAGCGGCAGCATTTTAATACCTGTAAGATTAGCTACACCCATACAGAAACCCAGCACAAGGAAAATTCACAACCTGTACCTCAGCTTTTCTGGTTACTTTGCATTGATACTACAGAAATTCAGTTTCTTCATGATTGTAGAGCAATCTATGTTGATCCTTCCAACGATTCGAGTGCTCACAAACGAGCCATTGATCAGTTCTGCGTCAAGTGGAAAGCTTCACCTCGATTTCAACGTGGTAAACAGCGATGGTGGCGTGAACAGTGGCAAACCTTTTCCAACTTACAAGCATCGAAACTCAAAAGTTGCGCTACCACTTGATCAGACCACCAACGGCACAACTTTTCGTATTGAGCACCTAATTTAGTGAGGTACAGTAGATTGGCCCTCACAGCAAAATGAAGTCCCATAGACTTTTATCACAAATTGCTCACAATACTTGGTTATCTTCTACTGTGTAGATAGATTCGACCCTAGTGGCTTCCTTTCGTGGCTCGAAAATCTGTCATAGTTAACAGTCTGTATCTATTCTAAAAGTTTGAACATCTGAATAATTGACGGATCCCCCTGATACGTTGATAATACGTTAACCCCTAAACACTTTATAGAGGACCAGTCGATGAACTTTTGTCTAGACATGGAACAAAATCGCATACAGGTGTTAACATAGAAACAATGCGAGCTTGGTCAAGGCGATCTGCCAGAGAAGAATATATGTTTGGACTGGTTCCTCAGTCAACATACTGCTGCGAAAAGTGACGAAGGAAAGTAAGTAGTACGCATTCATCCCATTTGTATGCTTTCCGAGCATTTCCCTCATTTGACAGTGAATAATTTCAAACAGAAAGCTGGATCTGCAAAGCACAAGAGTTCGCTGCTCACGTACTGCTGTCTTCTCGGAGACACCAACTTCCGCGGGCCTGGATCTGATTAATTGTCTGCATCCTGCATACGGTAATGAAATGTAACACGACGAGCAGAAGTTATTCAAGCAAACAGAGGCAACAAGTAGTAACTACGAAACAACGCCGGTTGAAGATCCAAAGGGTGGAAATTTCAAGCCAAAAGCTCCATGGTCAAGCCGAACACGGATAAATCAAACGTCCAGTCTCAAGTACTAAATCTTAGTCGGTATATATATGTGACCATCGATTAGGTGTAAACGCTTGGTGAGTGGAACTTGTAGCCACTTTTCAGGTGCCAACGTAGTGAATACCAACAGCCTCATGAGGTCGATCCGGGGGACAAATTCATAGATGGATCACATTAGAACTTTGCGAGGCTGCAAACCCCATAAACTGAGTATGTTATTTCGGTAAATATGTCATTGAGCAGATCACAAGAACCAAATGGCTATGAGTGGTGAAAACGAGGGGATGATGAGCACAATGGAGATCAGATACTTGCTCCGAGAATTACCCGCAATGATACTCACACGTGTGCTCGACTGAGATTTCAACTTCTGGAAGTCAACTCTGATCGATGTGATTTTCCACAACTAAATGATATCAGATAAATGTGCTAGCTTGGGCTGGGGCGGTCATGAACTTGCTCTGATCCAAATCCTCATACGTTTGATTTGCACGAGATCCCGGCTACATAAAATTATGGTCTTCCTCGAGGGCTCGAAGGTGAAATCCTGTCACAAATCTAAGCGTGAAGCAGTTTAGGTGATCTTACTCTTCGTAGGTTTAGCATCGAGAAACCTCAAAATATCCATGGGATGACCAGTCAGACTTTGGGAGAGCAAACAGTGTCATCGATCGGTGCCTTTTTTCGGCCTGAACCCAAACCGATTCCACTTTCGACTTCGAGTTGATGCGTTGAAGCATGCAGTTTCTCTTTCACCTTTGCATCTGTGTACTCACTGCAGCCCTCGAGATTAGCGTAGACTTCAGCAGGTCACCTCACAATAACACGATGATAGCTCTGTGCACAAGCAATAGCTGAGACTTGGGTGGGATCACTCGGTCATGTTTAAATCAGAAGACTCCTCGCCAGCGTCGACTTTGAAGCTCTCCTCAGACATTCATTAAGCGACACGTGCACGTACTCTAGCTTTTTGCCTCCACAGCATTGATTAGATTGTAACTTGTGTCCGTGGACATAAAGAAGACAGGTAAGTAAGTTACTCTCACCTGATAATATGTACTGAGAGTCTCGAGCAGCAGCGAGCAAGAAGCTCCATATTCCACATCCCCATGACGATCATGATACGACAGTATCCGCAATCCGGACTCCAGAGAGTTGACTTTGAAACCTCATCATTGTTCAAACTGAGCCTGGATTGACCCTAGCGGCATGAGCTTTATGTTTCATGCTGACAGATTGCCCCCGATCAAGAGACCATGACATACAGCACATGCCGACTATGGCCTGTCCCGGACCAGTTTGAAGCTACAGATTTTGGGACCAGAAAAGTCTGAGTCAGGTCGCTCAGATCCATACTGTCGATGTGAACGAAGCTAGTGCCTCGTTCGGTTTAAGGCAACTGGGCTGCGCTTGCGAAACTCCCAGGCTTCCACAAGGACGTCCCGCCTTTTCAGTTCCAAGTATCGTCCCTCGGGTGCACCTTATCTTTCCATAAGTCTGGGATCTCAGACTAGTCTAATGCAACCGGAGCTAAAATGGATAGCCATCAATCAGGCATTAGAATAGTCGGAGGTCTCAGAGCTCAGTAGCCAGCTAGCTCAGCCTTCTCCACGCTCTCGAATAACCTGAATAATGGAAACACTTCTCTCTCTCTCTCTCTTGCCAGACGATTGAAAGTTCATTTTTGGGCGAGCACAATTACCGAGAGCAGGTACAGAAGGCATACTTGAGCAACTGGTGGTGATGCCGATCATCGTCGTTGACACTGTGTCTCGGTCGAGCATCCTAGCGGCATGAGGGGCGTCTCTACTACCAAATTGAGAGTGAACTTGCAGTGGACCTGCTGCACATGCCTGCCATGGCCCACCCTGCACCTATCCCACCCATCTGACACATCGAGAGTATAGTTAACGATGAGCGCTGCCGGTGGAAGCGGCGAGCTCTCCTCCCTCGTATCTTGAATACCAGCACACCAGAAAATTGCAAGGCAAGTGCAAAGTACACCATTACACAGTCCTACTCGTGGCATTATGGCATCACGTGTACATTACAGCAACAATCTTCAGTCAGATTGCATCTGTAAATTTTCATGTTGGACGAAATTATTGGCACATGAAAAGTATTTTGCATATTTCCTGGACTTCTTTTTGTATGATTTGCGAGGGAGTATGGCACCACGAGAATGCATGTCGTTAATGTCGCTCGCCACCGCAGACGAAGGAAGATCCTCCATAGCTGGCACTGATTACAAATCTCATTTCTTCTCCTTCTCCTTCTCCTTCTTCTTCCTCCTCCTCCTCCTCCTCTTCAATTGATCGATTGGTACTAGATCTGAGTTTGTAAAGTCCACCAGTCGAACGTGACGATCACGAGTCGCATGCAGTTTCAGATCTCAAGCAGAAGAAGCGGCTTACCTTCAGAGATTTCCATGTCGAGCTAGGCAGACGTACACATTCGTGACAGCAATTTGACGATCTGCGATCGAGAGCGCGCCGAGGCTGGCCCAAGTTGGCATGAGCAATATCATGATCCATGAATCGTGTAGGCCGTAAGCACAGCGGACCAAGAAATCAAATGCACATGCCAACTGGAGTCCGCCTTGGCGCATTCTTGAAACCCCGGCCCGCCCCTTGAAGACGTGACCTGCTGCTGCCGCTTCTGCTTCTTCGGATGAGGCTCTGACCTCGTCCCGTTCCTGCGACCACAACGATTGATTTTCCTCGTTCTGTTTTCTCGAGAGCCAGACAATTGGCAAGCTGAAGGAGTCAGCCCTGCCCTGCCCTGCCCTGCCGCCAGAAGCAACAGATCGAATCCATACCGACCTGGAAGTTGAAACAGACCTAAAGAAATTTCAGTTCCAGCAAAGTACCCAAATTTTGGTGTCCGCAATTCACGATCAAGTCGTCGCAAAGTCAAAGTGACCTCATCCTGTTTCGCAGCTTGATATATCCGATCCGGCACCTGAAGCGTAGAGATGAGCTAGCTAAAGCTAGTGATGCCGACGTTGATCATTGACCTACAGAATCTGGTAGCTCGGCCGTGGACCTGACTGACGGTGCAGTACATGATCTTCTGTGCTACTCGAGTGCTGCCTCATGTCTCCAGTAGAGTAGTCGAGGCCAGTCAACGCCTCGTACGTCCCCATCGTCGCACGAGCCAAACCAGGTCAACGCCCACACACCACCGGGAGTCCTTCGACTCTTTGTAATCTGACTCGTGCTGATCTCACGTCATCACAGAAGCGCACCTCATCATCCCGTCGAGGTCAGTGACACGAGAGCAACCATGCTCGGTGGAAAGTTTCGATGCGGTGGTGGTTTGAGTCTCAGAGTTTCTTCGAAGGGCTTGATCTGTGGGCAGATGAACGAACTTAGCGATGCTGATTACTATCGAGCCTTTCAATTTCTCGAAGATTTTTATCTTTTGTGCAACTTGCTGGACGGGCAGCCAGATTTCTCCCCCAAGCTCGCCTCGCACGGATCGATAGTACCTCCGCCCACTGGCTCAACCTCTACTGGTTCCTGCACCTGGACAAGAAGATGCTTCAAGAGGGAAACAAAATTAGACGACAAATCGATCCTACTTGTAAGATTTACTTAACGTAATGCACGATCAGCGATTCTCGATCTGATGAGATGAGATAAAATGAGAAGAGATGTTCTGTAGTGGTCCAGTGCGCTGAGTCAGAGTTCTGGCATCCATCCATGCAAACGCTGGTGCAGGGGGGCATCTTGACTCGCGAGCTCCAGCAAGGTCTTGATTCTTCTCGTCTTGTCCTTTCTTTTGCAAGTGCGCCCGGATTGCCCATAGGTGGCATGAACGGATGCTCAGAGTTCACGTTCACCGAGTGTCTGAAGAGCTGTACATGCCCACTATGGTCCAACCGGGCACACTTGCAAGTAATGCTTGTGCCCTGCGAGCAGAATCAATTGCCAGTTCGAATTTCGATGGCCTCGAATATCCATCGAAAGCTCAGCTTCGAAGGTCGCCTCCTCTAGCTGGACCCCTGTGAACATCAAGACATCGGAGAAGGTATCGGTCATCTTGTGCACGGCATCTTAGCCCACGGTGGGCTAAGATGCCGTGCTTCAATCGATCGGGTTGCTGTAACTACTGTAATCGGCAGTGTTGCTATTTGGAACCTCCGTTCTCGACGACATTTGCTGGGCTGTCAGTGGCCGAGTGACCTACCAGCGGAGGTACTCGATTGCTCGTCGCTCCTTGCTAATCAAATTCTTTCCGTGCAACTACACGATGGACGTGACCTGCGAGGCAAATGGCATACGTAAACATTACTTCGTCTTTTTCCGCCGTACTTGCGCATACTTCTCTCGGACATATTTTTCTCCGATCTCGTTCCACCGTACGCGTCGTGCATAAATGCACGTGTCGTGATGATGATAAAATCCGGGCTCCCATTCACCCATCTCTTGGCCTCTGCTGGCCCCTTTTATTGCACATGTCGGAGTGCCACCCGTGCGCACCGTGAAGTCAGGATCCAAGCCTCGAATCATTGCCACAGTAGCCAACATGGTCGTTCATTCAGCAATGAAGTAAACCAGCTGCTTTCAAGTGCACACTACCGACCGACAAACTGACGCCCTGAAAGCTTCTGTGAGCTTTTCAATTCCAACTCTAGGGTCTGAGATCCGAACACTATCACGATGGATTCAAAATTGAAAAGTGAGGTTCATGTATCATTGAACATCAAACTTGCCTGAGTGCCAAACAAAAAGTCAGATCAATTCAGGTCAGAGCTGGTCAGATGAAGGTCACAGTGTTCCTCGATTCTTGGGACTGATTCCTCTAAGCTCAGCATACGTCAGAAACAGATGTTTGCTTACAAAACAAGTGCAAGCAAGCAAGAAAGTCAGTAATCTAAGATGGTTAACCTGCTCTAGATGAACCTGCCTGTGCCAAAATTTGGCCAAAATTTAAACCATCAAAAAGCTTACGGGTTCGTACCGGGGTCGATATGATCTGACATTCCTAGACCTGGTCAAGCTGTCCACGAATTACAAACGGCATCCGTAGACTGTCATGATTTTTCCATGATTACTTCAGAGATGAAGGACGATGGTAAAGACCAACTTGTGAAGAGTTGTAGTACATTAGTAGTACACCACGACGTCAGTATGACATGGATACTGAAGGCGTCAAATTGGGATATCAATTCCGCAACGAGTCCTACACCTTTCGTTGGCGTGAAGGTGGTGGTAAGCATCCTTCTACTCTTCTGTAGACTTCAATGTGATGATCAGAATACGCACCTTGCGAGTTTAACCTTATGAACTGAAATAGTATCCGCATGCCAATGTCATGGATATGATATTGCGCATGTGCTCGATATCTTCAAGGTACACACGAATTGTAATTTGTTCCTAGTCGACTCTGTCAGCCCTCTATCCGTGCGGACCTCCTCCTTGCATCCCGGATTGTAGCAAATGCTGAATATTGGCATGAGAAAAAATCGAAGCTCTCATCCAGTCCGACAAATGATCTCAAGCAGAGCCCGGCAGCTCTCGACGCGATGTTATTCCATCGTCATGAGTACAGAGCTCTGAGAACGAGATATTTTGTATTCGAACGGACGTGTCGTTCAAGAACGTGCTACGGCTGGCCCAAGTTGGCATGAGCAATTTCGAGCTCATTCATGAACAGAATGTGACATTGTGTTGCACATGCCAACTGAGGTCCGCCGTAGCAAATTGTTGAGATAAAAGGTCCAGAACTCCCGTAGATGCTCGCTGTAAGAATATACGATCGCTCGCCTCGCCTTCCATCTGATTCATGAAATGCAAGTGTTTCAATAAAACAACGTTGTGCACTTGGTTCTCACAAGAGCGAGTAGACCAGGCAGAATAGGCACGAGCAGCCTTCAACAACGAGGAGAACTACATTCCACTCTTCAGAAAGTGCAGTTCATGCAAGAAGCGCCTTTCCTTGACGCACTTATGGGGTCTATGCATACATTACGAGTACAGAAGCTCGTCGGGTAAATGCAGCTGACATGTGACAAAATTCTCAGTCCAGCTGGGAATCTATGGAAATGGCCCTTTGGCCGCTTACCAGCGTGATGCAGCAGCCGACACCAAGCAATGAGTCCACTCGTCAGATTATAAAGCTGAAAAGAACTTACAGCGATAGAGAAGGGGGGAAGCATTTCCTCGTACACTCCTCAGTGACAGAGAAGGGCTCGAAAGACCAGCCATCTTGCAGACTGAGTATGAATGCGAAGCTGCGTAATGTGATGCAAGAAGAGCAGTAATTATACTGGAGGCACACGAGGAGCAGCAGAGTTCTGAGAAGGCGTCCAGAGTATGACGTAGTATGATGAATTCACATCACTGCCACTTGTGCTCATTTCAAACCTCGTAACCTCTCCAGGAAATTCACTCATTCGTTCAAACGCTGAATCCGAAACTTGAGGTCGGTTGAGCTTTGAAGAAGTCAGCGTTCCTGCTCAAAGGTTTCAGTTAGGAATGTTTCATCAAGTCAACTTTGATCACTCTCTTAGTCAAAGACTGAAGGTGTCCACCATTGGTCCATTGTCAGAAGATAATGGGTGGGCGACCGAAGGGTTGACTAAGGTAATAGGACGCTACGAGGAACAAGTAAAGGCCATCAAAACTATCTGCCGTAGCGTGGATACGACTGGATCTCCAACTAATGGCCACACCGGAACACCATCGTCGAAAGCCAAAAAATCAGGAAATAGTGGAAAGCTAATAATGACGAACGTGGACTTTGCTGCAGCTACGATCCCATCCTCTTCTCGCTTATGTAAGCTCGGAGAGTCTGCCCGTGGGGATCGGGCCTCACGCACGCAGTGCTCAATTTCCACTGATCCTCGTGTTAAGCTGGATTTGACGCCGTACTTGGCCGAAGAATGCATGAGCTGCTGCACAATTCCCGATCAGTCCAAGCTCCATCATTCTCGCATAGGGAGCGCTTTGTCACAAAGCTTTGTCTCAAGTGCGCCGCACAGCGATATTGATTGTTGAGGCTGGCTAGCAATTGTCGTAGAACCCGAGTGCGGTGCAGTGCAATGCCAGTCTCCTAAGCCAAGACAAAGAGGAAAATGTGAAACAACTGTACGAACACCTCTGGCTGGACTCGTGCTCAGAGCCTTCGTATATTCGACATTCGACCTACTCGTATGTCACGTGCCACGGATTATCACCAGTACGATCGCACACATGTGTAGCAGCCCGTGTCCAGACGGTGAGCTCTGAAAACCGTGCGTAGCATTGGCTCCCTTCTATCTTCTCCCTTCCACTATGCACTGTAACCTTTTCTATCAACCATAAAGAAGAAGAAGAAGAAGAGAGAAAGTCTGTACGTCATCAGAGCTGAAGATTGAGTGCAACGGACCCAGCTCTCGCACGCAGAGCGTATGAACTCAAGGCAAGACAAGAGAATCGAGAAGGAAAAGATGGAAGATCAGAAGATAGGAAGGGGAGTAGAGGTTGGAAGTTGGAAGATTTCTAGCTCGATTTCGATATACCAACGTAGAGGGCCGCCAGAAGTTAACCCGGGGTATCCTCCTGCCCATTCGCATACAATGTTAGAAAAGTCAGATTCTGACAGAGGAGCAAAGGATAATGATGATGATGCGATGCACGTTGGTTGCCATTGATGATGATGATGTTGTCCTAACGAAGAAGTATCGTGAAGGCCCCCCTCGATTCGACGACCTACACAGGTCTACAAATCAGGCCAATTTAGTGCCCCCATGTGTGCAGGAAGCATCCTTGCTCGGGAGAGGCACTCTACACAACCAGAGTACAAACAAACCACTGGCATTGAGAGAGGGAGTGGGGGAGGGAAGACATTCTTCTTCTTCTTCGGCCTCACTCGCGAGCTCCATTTGCAAACGCCCAAGAGAAAGTAGCAAACGTGATCCCCAGCTGAAGAGATCCGCACTCACTAGAAAGAAAAGTGGAGGGGGATTTAAGGAGCATTGAAGCAAAGCGCAAGGCAAGGCAAAGCAAAGCAAAGCCGGCCGGATGAGCAGCGAGGGATGGAGGAAGGGAGGCAGCAGACGTAGGCCATGCAGGGAGGAGGTGTGCGGCTCGACTCAGCTCATGATCAGCTCAGCTCAGATCAGATCAGCTGTAGATGTTGGGAGGGAGGGAGGGAGGGAGGGGAGTCGAGTGGTGAGTGGTGAGTGGGTGGGTTCCTCTCAAAATCCTCGACGCTTTATGTTTTTTTTTCGTTTTGACTTTTCCTTCTCATGCGCTTCTGCTACGACGGAGTCAAACTTCGTCCGCATCGTGTAGCGCGGGTCAAAGGGGGCTTTTTCTTCGACCCTCCTACTTCTATGGCTGACACCAGCAGCAGCAGCAGCAGCAATCCCACGGCCCGAGCCAGAGCGCGCTTTTGTTCGCTGCTGCTGCTGCTTCTGCTGCTGCTGCTGCTTAGTCAGTCGTGTCCGTCGTTCTCGAGTCTAGATCTGGCGCCACATCCACCGGCAACGTAGGCCACAGTCCCTCACTCTCACTCCCCGACCGCCTCTCTCGGACGGGGCAATCGGGCCCAATAGCCCCGCTCGTCGCTCCCAGTGGCTGACGCTGGAATGCGAGGAGTGCAACTGGGCCAGATTCTATTCTCGAACGCGCGCAAGAGTCCACGGACAGACTCGCGGGGAGTGGGGGGTGGGGTTGGGGTTGCAAGGGGGCGAGGTTCTCCGGCATGGTTCGGACAAATTTGGGGCGAGGTTCGGAGAATTTTCCGCGAGCCGATTCGCGATTACGTTAGCGCTTTTCTGTCTTATCGCGGGTGGATTAGCGCGTGCGTGCCTCCATCCGTCCGTGTGTCCATCCCCTCCTCCATTCCTCTGGGCCTCGCCCGCTCTGGCGGTTCGGACGGTGGCCCCGAAACGCAAGCAAAGTAAGCCCCGGCCTTGACTAGTTCCGCGCGGTTCTAGGCCCAGCCCCCATCGGCTCCCGGGCGCTTGTTATTGGCTTGTGCTACACTCTTCCGTGGGCGCCGTGTGTCCTTGTTGACAATGCTTAGCCCACTCTTGTCTCACGCTCTGGCACGACAGAAGCCCCTCGCGCTCTCGAGCCGTCCGTCCCCCTTTCGACGGCCTTCCTGCCTGCCGTCTCGAATATTCGTCGAATGTCGAGACGGCCGTCTTCTTCCTACTCTTCCTCTTCTTCTTCGTCTTCCTGGCCAATCCCCTCCTGCGGTTCGATTTGCGTGCGGGGTTAGTCATGCTTTGCCGGGGGGCTTGGGCTTGGGCTTGTTCAAGATCGCCTCTGTGGCTAAGGCGGTGCTTGCCGGCTAGACAACCGACTCATCCATCAGCCATGACAAGTGCAGAAGAGTGCGTGCTTTCCCGGCACAAGTTACTACAGACTTGGCTTCAGACAGCCCCCCGCCTTCTCTCCCTTTCCCCGCCCCCCATTACAGCCCCATGGCGTGCAAAGTCCGGTCAACATTACTAACCCCAACCCCACCCCCCCACCGATTGATCGATTCTGCACACCATGAGTTCGCTTAATCTGCTTTCGGTGAATTTGCCACCTAAATTAACCCCACTGGCGTTCTCTCGTCACCTACCATCGGAAGAGATAAGCCCCAAGCATGATCTACCACCAGCCTACTGCCGGTTGTGACTGCCAAATACTGCGGCGAGCTCGCTCAGGCATAGGATAATGGTATTCTTGCACGCGAGCTGTCGATGACGGACGGTAAGAGAGCTCACTACGTCTTTGAATCGTTCTTGATCAGCGAGCGCGAAAGCAAACGGCGAGGAAATGGTAAAATAGTGAGAGAAATAGACCGCGAGGCCGACCTATTCTGGGAATTTGGAACGTCTGCGGGGCAAATTGGGGCTTGACTGGAGGCAGCCGCTAGCGATCATCATAGCTGATGCTGTGATTTTCGGCTCGTCAAAATGCAAGGGATTTGACTGGTTTGCTTCGGGGCTGCCGATTGCCGATTGCCGATTGCCGCGATTCGTAAAATTCAAAGTTTGACGTGGGAAAGGTGGGCGATGGGAACTTTAAGTCAGGGAGGCATCTATCTGCCTCTAGATTCGCCCCCTCCCTCCACTTTCACGTCCGGGGCTCTTGACTTTTCCCCTCCCGGACGATCTGACCATGGCTGACCGGAGTCAAGTCTGGTCAAGGAGGTGAATATGTCCTTGCTCCAAACATGGCATCCGTCCAGACACCTGTACTGAATCTGCCATCGTTCTGATTGACAGTGCAAGCGTAGCTTCATGGTCTGTCTGTGCGTCTGGACAGTGCATTCATTCATGCATTGACCTTCTGCTGCTGATTTACTCACTCGCAGAAGGCCTAGCAGTATCCCAACTACTGCACGTAGCGTAGTGTCATGGAGCTTGTGATTGGGGTTGTGTCTTGATTCTGATCCACTTCCCCTCCTGGTTTCTGGCCGCAACGATGCTAGTACAGAACACGGTACTTGCTGCTGCTGCTGCTGCCGTCGTTCATCCGATCGATCGATCCATCTATCCATCTCCATCTGACAAGAAATCTTCTCTAGCTCCGCTTTTCTTCTCTTCATTGCCGCAGTTTGTCGCGTCGTGTTGTCCTTTTGGGGCTGTGAGTTGGTTCCATCCATCCATCCATGATCCATCCCAACCACCGAGCTCAGAAACTTCCAGCCTTTTCCTTTCGAGCTGTACCTCTTTCTGTCTCCCTTAACAATCAATCATGTGCTGCCGATGAGGTGCATTTCAAACTAGCTGTGCAACAACTTCATGCAATTTTTTATCTGCGAAATTGCCCGAGATCGAGACTAGGCCGAGGCCGTCCTGTCTGACGGCTGAGCCCAGATTTTGCACTGCTGTATATGTTTGCGATGGTTGGGTAACAAATAAGATTCACTGAAATAATACCGTGAAGTAATTCGTCGCCATTCCATTCTATTCATTCATTGCGTTCATGCGAAGGAATGCATCTGAAATCCAAAATTTATCCCACATTTGATCAGAATAATGCCTGCTGATAGGATCCATTCAGGGCACCTTACTCGTAATTAAGTAGGACCAGTCGAGCGGTGCTAGCGAGATCTCATCGCCGTTATACGACATACACTGAGGAGAGCCTCATCTATATACGTAATAAATGTGGAGCTTTCGTCTTTGGAAAAGCAGTTCACGAGTTCAAGCGTTCGACCCTCGTTGGAAGGGCACACAGGAACATCGGTTAGTGCATTCTTGCGTGGGTGCATCCCTGTGCATGAGCCAGACTGCGAGAGAAGTGAGACGGGCACAAGACGGTGCAAATTATGAGAGACAGTATGCGGTCACGTCAAGTCAACGCAAGATCGTGGTGTAATGAGCATGGACCGACTGTTCAGAACTGTGCTCGATGACTCTTCAAATCTGTCATGAGGTGAACGATAAATCTAAAGGTGTATATTTTGAGCTCGGGCTGAAGTCAATTCACAACATGTGAAGTCTTTTCAGATTTGATTCATAGCTTGTGGTAGCTTTCGTTGTCAGAAAAGTTGAGGAATCATAGTAGGATGGTTGACATCGACGAGCATGTGACTATCCGAGTCGACTCCTGTTGGGAGATCTCAGAGATAGGACAAAATGCACGAGAATTTTGAGTGGCCCACGAAACACTGTGCAATCCTCGATATCAGGATCGGTGATTCCAAATATCCCGCAGAATAAATTCACAAGATTTAGCAAGGAATTCTTGACAAAGAAGACAAATGGCTGCTTCGCTTCTACGTCTCTTGTGTTTCTGGGAAACAGCAGTCTGTGCTGCAGATCGGACACTGAAAGATCCTGACTGGTCCAGCAAAACCAAAGTCTGAGCATTGTCACATTGTCTTCAGGTGGACAAACGATGGAATCCAACTCTACCCATCTGTTTGAGCTCGATGAGCGTGGTGAGGGTGATTCTTTTCTGCCTAGCTTCCCGAGATGAAAACTCCTCAGTACATCAAAAGATCAAGTAACAAGCACAGCTGCTAACAGAGTCCCGGACCTCGTCACATCCAGAATGAGAATTTCTAGAATTACAGACTTGTCAAAACCTCACTCGGATGATTCTCACTGATGTCTTTCTTGACTCGACCGTGCACTAACTGTTCTTATCGCTTATCCTTCTTCTGCCTTCTTGGGCAGCCGTCGACTTTGGCGACCACGAAGTTGCTTCGTCATTCAGTCTTCTTTGTTCCAGTTTCGGAGGGTTCGTCTACCAATTTCAGCTCCACCATCTGCTTCTCCACGCTCACCAGTCCGATTTGAGATACGTACCTGACATGACATGACATACGTCACATGAGAGAAAAGCTTTTCATCGACGACGACGTGCAGGCAGGCAGGCAGGCAGACATAGCCTACAGGTACCGACTAATCAACATGCCTAACTACGTTTGGCGTGTCCAGCATGCATGGCAACTCGAACACCTTACGCTAGCCATCACTCACTCGGTCAATCCGACATGGAATCTCACCCCCTCCAACACCAAACCAACCTTCCCTTCCCCTTCCCTAAGGGGCCCCCACCCCCAATGCCAAGGCCCCCAATCTCAAGCTTCTCATGGCCCAAGCTTGCTAGCTTGTGCTACCTGAACATACGCCACTAGATTTATATTCGACAATAAACATTCTCATTCCCCCATACGCCTCTCAAGGCTTAAAAGTAGGTGCTTTGTTCTGGCAATTCGATCGGTGCAAGGTTTGCATGGCCACTGGGGACACTGCACGCAGTGAATCGAGACACTTTCTCAAAACGACATTACTTATCGTGTCGAAGAAGCTGCAGGAGGTTAGGGCGACTACCATTGAAGTCCGATCTATGGCACCGTCCAGGGGACGAAAACCTCCTCCGAGAAGAAAGCAGGTCAGAGCAAAGAGTGCACATTATGAGCAAGTCACATTACACAGTCGTGCAAGAGAGATATTGTTTAATCAGATTATTGAGGGAATATATAAATCAGCTGTGCCTGGCAACATTCTTTCACACGAGACCTTCACTCGTTGGGATCATGGAAATTGCAGATTCCAAATGCCTAGCAAATGCAGGGGGGGGGGGCCGGCAATCTGAGATGATGAGGACATGAAATTCGAGATGACAGGCACCAGCTCCCATGAGGTACAAGTTAATCTATCCCCCACCCTCGTCTTTCCTTGTGCCAGAAGCTGCAGAGGGGGAAATGTGTATTCATCTCCCCCCGCCACGAGTTCCTGTGCTGGATGAGCCATGTCCAGGCCCGGCCGTGGGGGGGAAGGAGATACTTGTTGACTAACGAGGCAGAGGGGTTGGGCTACATGTCCCGATTGTAAGATAAGGTCCCGTGCAGAAGTCAACTTTGAGGGAGGGGGGGAGGGACGGACGGAAGGCCATCGGAAGCTTACCAGCTCAGAAGCAGCGCCAGACCGCCTGCGATGACGATGAGAAACACAACGTTCAACAGCACCATCCAGCTCGAGCTTTGAATGGCAACGTGCAGAAGCAGCACCAGAGACGCGGCTAAAGCCACTAGCACGGCCTTGATCACGAACCAAGTGGGTCCCTGGAGGCAAAATCGGAATCTCTCGACATCAGCATTTTATTCCGTGCATGCAATAGATAGCACGATAGAATTCACCAGGACAGACGATCCGATATCTCTCACAAATTCTGCGTAACGAACATCTTCAATCCTACTCTGCAATCCTTCTCTGCTCTGCTGGACGATGATGCTGATGACGATGAAGATCAAATCTTCAACGCACCAGCTTGCAGCAAATTAGGTCTAACTATTTCTAACATCCGTTTCATTGCATTTCAATCCTGGCTCGTACACATTCCAACTGGTCGAGGAAAATTCGCATTTTATGGTGAGATTGAGGAGATTTTGCAACAGAGGTAACTCATCATGCAACAGAGACAAGTAATTGAAATTCTAAGATCATTTGGGCTAAGATTGTGAATCGATTAAAAGATGTACATTCAAATGAAAGAACGTACATTGACTCCGGTTGCCAAAGCACCCAGTAAGACAGCCTCACCGGCTCCAGGTTTCTTCGCCTTCGATTCTTGTTGATCTTCCGCTGATGGCTCTGCCTCTGCCTCTGCCTCTGCCCTGATTTCGTTTGGTCGATCCGTCCTGCTCTCATCTTCGTCTTCCGTTTGAGGGAGGACCTGTTCTAGATCTGAAATCCGTCTCAGTACCTCATCCAGTGGCGATTGGTTGGACCCTGGATTGCTGTCGGGGATCCCATCGTCGTCCTCATCATCGTTTCGATCTGCTTGCCTATTGCCGAGCGCCTTGCTCCCCAAAATCTCTGCCGCCTGCGAATCTGAAATTTCCTCTATGATGGCCATCGATCGATCGCCCGATGCAAATTGTTCAAGGTCAGCTTTTGAATAGCGAGCATAGACTCGCAGCATCCGTCAGATTCAGCGCACGAGTCTCCTCGACCTTCTCGCACATCCGGTCTCTCACTCGTTCGTTCTTTCAATCATGAGAAGGACGAGTGTCTTGCTGCTGTATGTGCATCTGTCTCCTACGCTTCCTTCATCTCATCGTGCATCATAATCATCACCATCGCCCTTCTCCTCCGTCTTATTCTTTCCTCTCGCCGGTTCCGACTAAAGGCTTGAAGGCAGTGGGAATTCTGGCTGACCTTTCTTCACCAAACGCACAATGTACCCACGGCCTTCGTAACCCAGATGCGCTTATCAGTCAGGAACAGTCGTGTTCTTTTACGTTTACATCCACCATCTCGGTTCCTCGATCCTGATTGCCCAATCTGCTCATGAGTTTGGGAGTTTGCACACTCGTTTAGAGATGAATGTTGAGTTTAAGACTCCCCAGCGACTTTTGCGATGTACCAGATCTGATGGATTTGGTACCAGTCAATAGCAATTAGATGTGAGCATTTTCAGATGTTCTTTCTCAGGTTCACAAACAGAGTCGCCGGTTGAATGTACGACTTCAGCTTCTCATGTTTGAAGTTCTCGGCCATTATGAATATACAGAAGACCGAAGGAGAAGAGCAGGAAAGAGTACAGCTGTAGACAGGGTAACCAGGTTCTCCTCTCTCCATCAAGCATCACATGCGTCTGTCTGATGGGACCGGTCTCAAATAACAGTCGCATTTCGTGCTTGATGTTTCTATTTGTCGTCATGAGCCCCCAATCAGATACAAAGAATTTTTATTGTAGGCCAATATCGGGTTGCTTAGAGCAGATTGCTTCCCTGATTCACTCCGCTTTCGCTGTCATACGTTTGCATTCGGAAACGTCGAGGATTACGTACCGCCAGTCTTTGATATGATAAGACATATCTTACTACGAAGGCAATATCCAAAAGTTAAACGCTGCTGCTATTGATGGGTAGAGACAGTTGAAACACTTTTCTTGATCAGGAAGAGGTGCAAATCTTTTCGAGAAGACATTTGTTCTCGTTCTTGGCCTTTCATTATCCAAGGTTTAACTCAACTTCCATGTCAGTCGGAGAACGTAGGAGACGATTCCATTCAGCAGCTGAGAATTTTGAAAATCTTGACACCGTCATGGGTGGTGTATGTCCCAGTACTGGAGAAGACCGACATCCGAAAATGAGGTGGCCAGGAAATCAATTGGAGAGAAAAACAACAGTCCTCGCCAAAGCGATTTTATTTCTGTAATTGGCCAACAGAAACTCAGAAGCCGGCAACTGACCTCGCAATCCGCCTGTGGGTTCAGATTCAACCACACCAAGATTTGATCGGATAAAATGGCCGACGGAGAGTAAACTCGCAGTGGTCAAAGTGTAGCACAAAATGTAGAGCTCCGTTACATGAGACTGTACATATATGAAATCGAAATGCAATCGAGAAGATGAGAACAGGATGCGATACCGAAGCAGAGTCGACAGTGCCCTTAAGGCCAGAGGATTTTGTTCGTCAGAGAAAAAGAGCAAAAGACTTTAAATTAGATATAGGACAGTAAGAAAGCTAGGAGCCAATCCTAAACCCTTCGCCAGGTTGCTGTATTTCTCCTTCGACGTTTGAGCCACATCCTGCACGTGATCTGCCAGGCTATGAAATAGATAAACTGATCCCCGTGAAAACCCATGTTGCTGGCATCGCAATGATTTCTTAAACCCGTTGGTAAGGCTTGCAAGGTACTTCTAAAATCTGTCCATTAAGTCAAATGCTGTGGAAGATTGATGGTTACTCACTCACAGTAAACTAGGACCTCGACATGCTCAAAAGTTTCAACAACTTTCAAACTCTTCACGATAACTACGGCACAGACGCATTCATCCCAAGACTGATAATGTATACAATGGGCTTCAACTCTATAGACAACATACTTCTAAGATCATTTGCAACAGCAAAGGACCATGGAGGCAAGTTTTCGAGGGCAATTTCAAGCCCATCGACGTGAAAATTCACTTTAATTCACACAGAGATCTACTAGCTGCGGCACTTCGACAAAGATGAAAATGAGATAGTGCAACAATAAAAGTATCGTCCATGATGAACATTTTAACATTTCATCGACCTTCAATATTGTTTACCAGTCCATCACAAAGAATGCCCGAATAGATAGCCATCTAGGAGACAATACACAGAGACTACTGGGAATCAATATATTATACAGGATTCAACGTGAGCAAAGGAAACAGAAAAGATATTCAACATTTCGACTTGTGACGGTCTCCGTCTAGGATAAGTACAACAGATCACATTTACCATGTCATGGCGAGAGAAAGAACGCAATAGACATTCAATAAGCAGGTTTAGGTCGAGGCACCACTCCGTGTACAACATTTCTAACCCCAACATGGTTGACAACGACACCTCAACAGCACCATGATACACATGCAGATATTGGATACAAACCACACTAGGTACTCATTACACACACAGTGATGCTCCAGGCCTAGCTTAAGGAATATATTGAAAGTAACTCATTCAGAGCCTGAAAGAGATACGCTTGAACATGTGTGAAATTAAAGAAGACGATTGCCTTGGAACAAAAATCAGTTTCTTGGGTGAAACGTTTCATCAGGGTTTGGATACCATGACCTAGTTAATTCATAAGCTAACAAACTACAATGAATAAAGCTCTGTAATGTACCTAACGCTTGGAGAATTGAGGTGCCTTACGGGCCTTCTTCAATCCGTATTTCTTCCTCTCCACCACTCTCGAGTCTCGGGTGAGCAGACCTTGCTTCTTCAGGGGTTCCCTGTTAGCTTGGTTGGCAACAATCAGAGCACGGGCAATTCCTAGCAGGATAGCTTGTGCTTGGGCGGAGAGACCACCACCCTCGGCCCTGACAATGGTGTCGTACTTTTGCTCGTACCCGAGACTGGCAAGGGGATACTTCACGGCTTGCAGCCACAAGGGATTTCCTTGTAGGTAGTCCTGCAGGTCATGACCAAATATGATTGAATGCATTAGTTCAATTGCCGCACAAGGGGTGCGTGGACATCCCATTTCAAGTCACGGTTCATGGAGCAATCACGGACAAAGAATTCTTAATATGGTGACGTTTCCCCATCCATTTGTTCAATTTCGACGTGCCTTCCTATATGAAACCGTATAAATGTTAAGTAGGTGTAAGTAGTAGGTCACGCACAGAGGTTTTAAACTGGCAGCCCTATTAGTGGCAATGGAGTGGCAACGGAGTGGCAGAGGACGGGAGAGAACAATAGAAAATACAAGAAAGAGAATGCACCGAAGAAAACTGAGACGCATTTTGTAAACATTCAACTACGATAAATGATTCCGCAGGAACCAGCGTTTGAAAATTACAGCTCGCGAATGGACCACCAAAGACTGAAAATGGTGAATTGAGGGCGGGCAGGAAAATTTTCACGAAGCGACAACCCTTTAGACTATCGAAAATAAATTTGAAAGAATGAAAATGAAAAGCGTAGAAGAGAGTACATACTTGTGCAGTGCGGTTGTTGATGATAATCTGACCGGTTCCATCGACAAGCACCACACGGGCCACGGCAGTCTTCCTCCTGCCGGTACCCCACAACCTGGCGGCAGCAAATCCTCCGGGCAAAACGCTCTTCACGTAAGCCTCCAAATCAACCTCGTTGTCCTCAGACACAGCCGCTCCCACGGCGCACACCTTCACGGCGGCAGAAGCAGAAGAAGAAGAACTGGCCTTCAGAGAGGCAATTCTCAATGCAGGCCTCAAACTGACTCCATTTTGAACCGAGAATCGAGAACCCAGGGAAGCAGCGGTGGCCTTGTCGGAGCAGCTGCAGCTGCTCGCAATCCCGAGCTGCAGCGATCCCAGCGACGACGTGAGTGCTGCCATCGTCGCCATAGCTCGTGAGTTCCGAACTGTCTCTCTGCTCCCTATCTTCCGAAGCCCGAGCTAAAGTTGCGGACTGTCTGCACCGGAACGTCGCAAGGTACCCCTCGCCTCAGCCTCGATACTCTGGGCCCCCAGCAGAAGTGTTCGCCTGATCGACTCGGGTGATTACGTGGCAGTGTGCCACGTTGGCCTCGAATAGCGCGCTATTGGATAGGCCAGCGCCTAATCCTTACAAAAGGAGGTGGTGGTGGTGGTGAATCGGGACCACGAAATAATTAGGACACTGGAAACTCGAGAACTCCATGGCTGCCCCCACCATGATCGACGCTTCTGCTTTTGGGTCTTCGGAGCCACCGCAAACGAATGGAAGTTATCTTTAATTGAAAGCGAGGGGCTTTCGATTAAAAAAAAAAAATCATTTATCCGAGTTCCACTTAGGCATGAAACAATGTCTAACCGGGCAAGAACTCAAATAGCTCTCGCTAAATTGACAGATTGTATTGTAGAAGTGATTGAATTACACTTAACGTATTTTTTTCAAAATTTAAGGTGGACTGGTTCGTTTCTTCTAGGATTCTTTCTTCTAGACTTTAACCGAAGCCATTCGCTGGGTATTATCGTCGTCTTTGCTTTCCTTTCTATTCGTAATTTAGTATGTTTTTATCCTTAGATGATATATTTGAGGGCTCTTTATGCTTAGGTGTACCACATGAAATATATGCTTTATATCCACAAGCACAGCTCCCGTCTTTCCTCCCTTTTTTCTATGCCAATACCTATTTTCTATCATATAAATTACATTCTCAAAAGTATATATACTCTCTAAATCTATCTGATCAAACCTCATTATAGGGAGTATTTTCTCCATGCTTTAATATCATATAAATTTAACATGTTCAATTTTCTGTCAAAAATGAAATTTTATTCTAACTTTATATGTACATGTAGTTAAGTTACTCACTAGTGAACAGTATATCATAATAATTGAAAAATATTTGAAAGCCATAGAATAAAGGATTAAAAAAAGAATCGGCAAAAATTAAGTCAAAAAATTAGAAACTAATTTTATTTAGATTTTGAGTGTTTGTCGTATTTAAAGTAAAAATAAATAATAATAAATTCTCAATACGATATGTAGTTGATTGATTCAAATCAAAACCAACAAAATATGATTAAGAATTTAAAAAAATGATATTTCACTTGCCAAAAGTTGCAATAAGTAAGAAATTTGAATTTTTAATGGTTTTTTTGAACAAAAGTCAGATTATATTTTTCAAACTTCTATTTTTTTTTAATTTGGATAATTGTAACATTTGAGATTTCATATATATTTCAATAAAAAATATGTAATATGTCATTTTTATAGTTTTCTTATACAAAGTTGAATGAACATCAATCTAAGTTAATTGACAAGAAAATAGCCAAAAAAACACATAGATCATAACGACGACAAATTCATGATTCTCAAATTTTATATTAATTTAAGGTATGTTTCAATCTGATATTTTTTTTATCTTATCAGCCTTGCAAAAAGTTATGTATCCTCTAGAATGTCATCTTCATGTCAATATATTCTAAGATTAATTATCTTACTTTATTTTTAACATGCTAGTAAGAAAATATCTTTGTCGCAACTAATGTTTTGATAAAAAAAGTTTAAACGAAATTAGAACAAATATTTTTTTAAACGATTAAAGATAATTAAATATAAGAATAGTATACAGTAGAACCTCCGCTACCTAATACTCCAGTAGGAAATAACCTCCAATACCAAATGAGATTCTATCAGTAGAGACCTCGGATAAATGCAGCTTAGGGAATAACCTCCATTCTCTAATAGTGAACTAAATCGGGACAGTCCCGATTTTTTTCTTAATAAATATGACAGCAAAGATCTATCACATGTGGCATATTTCTTGGCAAAAAACCTATCTAATGTGATTTGCTTCAACTTTTCAATTTGAATCCTGCGAGCAGCGTCCATCATGCTTCTTATCGACGAAAGATTTTCCGTATGGGATACCTCTTGCCGAAGATAAAATTGTTGAAGCTTCTCAAGCCTGGAAATGACATCGTCGAGGCTAATTTTTGGAAGCTCTTCCCTGTTGTACTCTTCCTCAAGGCCAAGAATCTCGACAGGATAGTTCAGTAGGTTTCGAATGTTCATGGAATTCTCATAGCAGAACCGATGAATCTAGCTATTCAGTTCACTGCTGACTTCAGCTGTTGGCTCTACTATGTCTTCCATTACATGGGCAGCCCGATGTACTCCAAACGGATTTGACAATGGTGAAAGCAGTTGGAAATTGTTTTCGGCTTAACATCTGAAGTCCATGTTGCAACGGCCATTTTAATGTCTTCAAGAATGTCAATTTTTTCTGGATTCGAAATGTTTGAATCCAAATGAAGAAGTACTTTCTCGTTGAATCGACGACAATAATAAGCTTTTAAGTTCCGAATTATAATTGCATCGCAAGGCTGGATTTTTGACATTGTGTTTGGCGGAAGTTACATGACGGTTGTGTTACGCAGCTCGGAGACTATCAACAATAATATGAGCACTACACTTGTCAAGGATCAGCAGGACTTTACTCTTCGCCATCTGGAGATTGAACCTCTTGATCCACTCGAGGAAAATGACTTGGGTCATCCATGACTTCAAGTTTCGACGGTACCTATGGCCCTGTTCAAGGTTTGCGTGCGTCATATACGGCTCATTCTGTTTTTGTTTGAAAAAAGCGATACTTTGTTTGTCCGTCATCATAGTGTAGGTAGGCTTCTTCGGAAACATGATGCTCAAAGTACTTTGTGAAGCAAAAGCAGCGGAGAAGTTGCCTGACATAGCTGATGTTGCGCCACAGTAAATGTTCCGATGGGGAAGATGACTTGGCAGAGATGTGGACGATTTTACGAATGTGTCCGCGCACTACCGAGTAGACGTACCAGCATCGCAAATTTTGAGATCCATTTGCCTCTCAAAACGTTACCATGGCCGCGAACAACTTTTCAAGCATTACTCCTGCTAGGTAATAACCTCTGATACTTAATATCTGTTGTGCGTTTCCAAGGGTATTCGCTATTTTGAGGTTCTACTGTATCTGTTATTGATTTATTTTCAAACTTCTTATTCGTTGATTTTTTAAAGAATCTATATTTTTTTGAAATTTTTGTCTCTTCATACAGATAATTGATTTTTCTAAATCTCAAAAAAAAAAATCAATTTTGTTTTAATGTTTGAACATACACATTAAACTATGTTGTTTTTTTCTTACAAAAACAATCGTATGATACAAAATTTGTTTAAGTTTTATCAAGAATTCAAATTTAAAAAATACTGGTGTATCTTGAATTTTTTTATGTCTGTCATTTCAATTCAATTATGAAAACGAGGAATATGAGGAATTTTTTTGATCAAAAAAATCATAAAATATAGAGATATTTCATTAATATTAATTTGATTGACGTGTTTAAGTAAAAAATAACTTTGTTCAAATTAACATTAACATATTCATGTCACTTATGAACTCTTACATTTTGATTACTAGTTTTCTTAGAAAATATTTATCTCAACACCATGTTTGGTTTTTTCAAAAAAAAATTATTAATGTGTTGTTGATCAATTGCACAACAAATGTAATACTTTTTTTCCATTTGCAGCATATGAACGTGTGTTTTCAATACTGTAGAAAATTTGTTTCCAAGTTGTTGATTGCATTTATAAATATGAAAATAAGATGAGTGTTGATTGATGTAGTAAGGTCATTTCCATATTTTTAATCTTTCTAATATATATTACACATATACTTCAAATATAATTGATCTGCATAACCATATTTTTAAGATGGTAAATTGAACATAATCCTTGTAAACAATTTAAGATGTTTTTTTACTTTTTATAATAAATTCTTCAATAATAATGTCAATGAATGACAAATAGATTCCATATCCATAGATATCCTAGGTTTATAGTTGTAAATAAAATAAAAAACATCTTACTTGTTTCAAATAAAATAAATATAGAATACAAAATATAATGAAACCAAATGATACATAAATTCCATATCACTATTATTTTGTGATTCTTACTAACAAATATGTACTATGTTTTTAAAATATACAATTTTATATGAATTTAGTCAATTCTTATAAATGTTTGCATTATTTTAATATTTATTTTTTAATGAACTTATATTGTTATTTAAAGCTTCTTTTTTTATTGAGAAGTTAGATTGAAATTTTTAGAAATATTTAATCTAGAATTTAATATAAAAAAAAAATTTATATTAAATTTGTAAACAAATATTTTAAAAATTTTGATGGCATTAATTTTTGTTCAAGTCGATAAAGTATCAAATCATGTTCATAATTCTTAAAAAAACCAAGATTGTTAGAAAAAAAAATAGAAAAATTTAAGTTATTAATTATTGGATTATATGATTCTAAGTATAATAATTTTTCATTTAAATTAGTCACAATATAATATTGAATGGTTTGTAGATTTTAAATGTCATAGTATAATTGTAAATAAATTCTATTTAAAAGTTATAGAATTATACTTTGATTTACAAAATAATTTTTTATTTTTTAAAAATAAAGTATTTAAGTTTTAAATAAGGTATTAGTTTTCAAATTTTCAACAATTATAAACGAAAAGCTTCAACTGGGGTTGAACTTATTTTCAATACATATTTTTACAAATGAAACAATATAAAATTCATATATAATTTGTCACTTTGAATAATGGGCAATTTAACACTATAATATATTAGATTATGAAATATTTGAATTAACTTGTTTTATTAAGTGGCTCTTTATTTTGAATCAAGAGATCAGTTATTGCAACAATATTTTCGATACAATAGATTTTGTTGGTAAATTTAGAACAATGATTAGTATTTAAGATGTATTTGAATCAAAGTATTAAATGCTGATGCATTCAGCATGACTACTTCTAAGAATATCATGTAACACTGATCATAATATTTTGAGTCTAACAGCTTTGTTTTCAATCATAAATATGTTTATCGATTTTATATATATACTACTAAACAAACGAAATATAGATTTTATATTTAATACATATGCCATACATATT